GTCTACAAACAAAACTCTTGCACATGAAATTATGAGATGGATCAATAAAGGAACTATATATACCACATTTGACGTGACTAATCAATAAAGATCTTTTTTTTTAAAATTCAACTTGTAAGTGATTATAAGAGATCATTTCCAGTAATACTTTAAACGTGATATAAAATTCATGATTCTCTTGGGTATGGATCCAAAAATATGGAACATTCATTGCAAGGAAAGGGTGTACAAATCACACTAGAGGCAGATCCAATATTTAAACGTCATGGATTCAAATTTGTAAGTTATTTTAAAATATATCTCAAATTTTGATATTTATATTACTTTTCATGATTTTTATACTACTTTTCAGACATATATATCTCTGGTTTATGTTGAAAATAAGGGGTTTAATTGAGTCTACTTCCGACACTCTAGATCTAGGTGATAAATATTGAACATTGTCTAACTTTACAAATAATACGAAGAACAATGAATCAATATAGAGGTTAATCAGATCAGTAAATTTCGAACACCAGATAATTATTAAAACAATAGAGTTAAAAAGGAAAATGGAGTAACCATGTATTCAGTAGTGATGAAGGGGTCATTGACAGCAACAAGCTCAATGTCATCACTCTGCAATGCCACTCTAGCCACTAATCTACCAATTCTTCCAAAACCTACGTATACCAAACAAAACAATTTATTTTTTTTAAAAAAATATTGACATTAACAAAGGTGGATAACAATATGAAATAAAAAATCACCATTGATTCCGATCTTGACTTTGCCCATAATGATTATAACAAATAATTAAATGAAAGAAAAGTTTTAAGAATTTGAGTATTCTTATTTACTAGTAGAGTGTTGTTCAGACTATTGGTAGGATTTGGTTATAAATATAGAATTAGAACGGAATTATAGATGTTTTGAAACAAAAACAACCACAAATAACAATTTGGTTATGAGTTTTTGTGGGTGATACGATATCTACGGGTTAGAATTAGTTTTCTAATTAATGATTAAGTTAATTAAATTCTACTTACCTATGTGATGTTGTCATTCATAAAAAGGAAAACACAACTTGATAATAGTCCGTTTGGCTTATTTTTTTTAAAAAATAATAATTTAAAAGTAATTTTAAAAAAATTATTTTTTTAGTAACTTTTAAGTAAAAAAAAAAGTGAGAGAATATCTATTTTTAACTTTTTTTAAAGTCATTTTGAACTTATTTTAAGTTATTTTTAACTTTGTCAAATACTCTCAAAAGCTAAAATGACTTAGAAATAGTTTTGATCAACTTTTAAGCCAATCCAAACAGGCTCTAAGTCTTCTTTTTTTTCTATAGAAGAATCCATGCTTCTTATAGCTACTATTTTTTTAAAAAGATTTTTCTTAACATAGTTTAATATTTTCTTAATCTTAATTTATGTGGTATTGTTCGAATTTCGAAAATCAAACGATTTAATTTTTACAGTCAATTCAGGCATGAAATCTTTATTTTTTTAAAAAATAAAATTTTACATATTTGAAAATTATCTAAAAAGTGCTACTATAAATTACTCTAACTATTGATAATTCAAGATATTATATATATATATATATATATAATAAATAGTAAAAAGAAAATTATTTAAATCTCAAAATCTGAAAAAGTGATGTATTTTGATTTATCTATAGAAATTTTTTATGTTGTTGAGATGCGGAAAAATTGACTATATTTGTGATAGAATTTATTATATGTTTTTTAATTACTCTTACACTTAAAGTATTTCTTAGTATAATCTCCTTTTCATTATCGTGCCCTTTTTTGGTGTTGGAGTTCGAAAATTTTAACAAGAAAATTCAAAAAGTATTAGGTAAAAGTTTTTTTAATATGTGAGGGACTTCAACAAGTTAGGTATTATATACATAATTCTTTTATATGTATGTATATTATAATTTTATATGATCTTATACTTGCAAATTTATTCTTATGGCTACTCTATTTGAAAATAACCATCAATTAGAGGTGATAAAATCAGTTCGTAAAATTATGATTCACTCAATTTTCTTAGATTTGAGTAGGTTGATGATCCACTTATTTTATTAACTCAATTTATATTGATCTGCCCAATTTAATCTATTTTAAAATTAGGTTAATATGCGTTCTAAATTGATCTATAAGCTACTAATGATCGATGAGGATATGTTAGAAAAGACTTGGTCACTTTTCATACCTCAAATATGGTATTACTAGAGGAATGAGCAATTTTGACTGAACAAGCCAATATTTTAAAGGGAAAATGGACAAATATACCCCTAACTATCGTAAATGGTATGTAGATACCCTCCGTCATACTTTTGGGACATTGGTGCCCCTGTCGTCCAAAAACTAGAGCATATATACCCTCTATACTAACGGAGTTACACGTGTCATAATCTTATCCATCAACCCGACATCGGATCGATGGATAAGATTGCGCCACGTGTCCCTATTTAGTCTTCCGTTAGAGTGAAGGGCATATATGCTCTAGTTTTTGGATGGCAGGGGCACCAATGTCCCAAAAATATGACGGAGGATAGCTGCATACCATTTACGATTGTTCAGGGTATATTTATCCCTTTTCCCTATTTTAAATAAACTTGAAAATTATAATTCAGTGAAGTAATTTTTTTTATATATATATAGGTGGATCTAGGATTTGGAAGTCGTAGGTGTCACATCGTTCAAATAAGATAAAATGGTCGGTTGCTTTAATTTGGGTTACAATTCGGGTTAGTAATATTTTATTTTAGATATTTCGAGATTTGAGATAATATACAATTCAATTTTTACTTCCTTTTAGGAATTAGAGGCCTAATTCACTGAAATTTGAAGAAAAAAAGAGATTTTTCACAAAGAAATTTGAGGTTGTATAAATCATATAATAGTATTAACTTGATATATTCATATTCCATTGACTTTATGTGTTGTTGCATATATATAGTAAGGAAAGAATTAAAATTATAGTTTCAACATTACTTAGCAAGAACGTCGGTGAAGATCAAAAGAACCTTTACAATAAAAAAAAACTCTACTAATAATATTCATTAATTTTAAAACTTGTATTTTTTTAAAACTACTATTTAAATATATTCTTAATAATATTTATGTGAGGTTCGTAATTCAGTACTCATTAATTGATAAAGAATAAATGAGTAACACTCATATCAAAAGATTAATAATATGAAAGAGAAAGTTAAAAAAACTGAAAATTAATTATGGAAAGGAGTCAATTTGAATTATTAAAGAATAGTAAATAAATAAGAATGAATGGAAGAAAAAAAAATTAAAGCCTTTCACACATTAATGAAAATGACAAAAAAAGAAAGAAAAGAAAAAGAAAGAGAAAGAAAAAGCGTCACCAGCGACAAGCCAAAAAATAGTGCTTGCAGTGAGGTTCGAACCTGCGTGGGAACTGTGGCCGTTTGTCTCCTTTACCAATTGAGCCATTCACCATTTCATAGTGGCAAAGTGAATATATACATATATACAAAGTTTTTTCCGAGATCACTGGGTGCCGTGGCACCCCACCCGTCCACGTAGATCCGCCCCTTTAATATGAAATTAATAAAAAAAAATATTGTACTAATTTAAGTAGGTTTTAATCCATTATCTTTTTATTTATAAATAGATTAGGTCATAAAATAATTACACGTTCTGAACATATTATTATAATTGATATCCGATACCTTAATTTGACTGAACAAGCCAATATTTTATTTTAGTGATATTCTCACACATGCAATGCATTTCAATATACCATAAAAAAATAATTTAGCCAACCTACTAGAGTTTTTTTTAATTAGAATAAACAAAAGACTAATTCTTCGATATGACATTAAATCCCGTTTAGTGCGTGGTATTAGGAAGGGCTTAAATTAATTTAAAATTAATGAGGATGCTTTAAACAACTTTTGAAAGGGAAAAATGCAAACAATGATATCGAATTTTATCCTGCTTTTTTATTTAGTGGGATATGATATTAGATACAATCGTATATACGGAGAATTTTAGTAACTCAATTGATTAAGTATTTGAATTTTGATTTAATTGATAAAGATTCAGTTTTTCATCCTGTAATTAATCTCCTACTTCGATTCTATTTTTGTATTCCCAATTTTTTTTAGAAAGAACAACAACAAAGCTACAATCATTGGATCAGCGATGGGAGTCGGAATTTTCACTAAAGGTAATCAAAATATAATGAAATAAATTCATGAAAAAGCTAAGAAATATCAATATATATATATATATATATATAACAAGTATTTTTACCTAGCTACGTACATATACTCAACAGAATTTTCTGATGAAAAAATATCAATTGATACCCCTCAAATACATGTGGCTCCGCCTCCGCATACGTACGACAATTATCATACTATATTCAAAACTCTTTTAACTTTATATTTTTAGTTTCATTTTAATAAATGTTCTTACATGTTAATATAATATGATAATTTTACGGTTACTTTTAAAATGTGTCAAAAAAAATTAACTTTTCTTTTTAAAACTTAATTAAATATCATCAAATAAAAATATGAGATAGGCAATGTGCATATTTTATTAAAAAAATAACTCAATGGTCCAAACTTAAATTTTCACAAGTATTCTCGATTGAGTGATAGAGCACCAATATTACAGATCGAGCCGATCTAGAATTTGAAATTAATAAGTACCCGTAAATTGATCTAATATTAAAATCAGTTTTGTTACAATTAAATATTTAGATATTTTTAATATACATACAAATCTTTTCCTTGAGGCATGCAAAGATAAAGATAATATTTGCCTATGTTGAATATGATTTGTGAGATTACGTTGAATATTTTGTTATTATGTAAATACAAATATTGGACAAAATTGCCCCTGTATTGTGGGGTAGGTGGGAGGTTTGATTCACACAATATGATTCTCTTAAAAGCTATATATATATTGGGTGTCTTTCCAAGTGATTAATCATTTGTACAAGTCTTTTTTAGTTGAGGAAAAAATGTGGAGGTCAAGGGTGGTGATAATAATAGTGTTGGTTATATTAGAATGCATAGAAGTTGGTTTAAACACACTCAATAAAGCTGCTACTACTAGAGGAATGAGCAATTTTGTCTTCATTTTCTATGCCAATGCCTTGGCTTTGTTCTTCCTTGTACCTTCTACCTTCATCTATCATAGGTAATTACTTTCTCCACAAACTATTATGATTCAATTTGACTGAGATAGATTTTGAAGTTGAAACCTGAATTTGAAAAATCGAGTTTTGATTTTGGAATTAAATTTTAAATTGTGTTTGGACATGCATTTTATTTTATTTTTTAAAAATTTTTAAGTTTCGAGAGGGAAGTTCTACTGATCAATTTTTGAAAATTTGAAAATATTTGAACATCAGAATAATGTCTACATAATCGAATTCAGTAGTTTTTTATTCAAATGATGTATTTGTCTTAATTCATTGATATGTTCTTTTAGAATTCAATCACTTAAACAAGATTACAATCCGGAAAATCAATATAAGTTTAAAATCTTGACTTCACTTCTGAATTTATTTTGATTTCTTTATTTTAATGCCATTTTTGTCCAACAGAATGAGGCCTTGCAGAAAGCTCAATTTTTCTATATTCTCTAGGATGATTCTTCTTGCCTTCCTCAGGTACTTGATCATGAAATTGATTTTTTATTTTTTTAAAAATTTATTTTGTTATGTTGTTGTTGGTTATTATGACTTTAATTATGGCTTTAATATTGTTTTTATTTTTCTTTTTTGTGACACAAATAAAAAGCTGCTCTGTACAAATATTGTTGTGCTTTGGGATAGGGTATAGCAATCCAATTTTGGCCTCAGCAATGACAGATGTTGTTCCAGCTTTTACTTTCCTAATTGCTGTAATTGCAGGGTAAGTTACACATTATTAGCATAATTTTATTAATTTGATTTTCTTTTTTCAATTCATATGAGATTTCAAGCTAGATAGATACATGTTTTTTGTTACCATATACACTGAAATAGGGATAGAGACTAGCAAAAATTAAACAGGAGGGAGGCGAACAAAATTTGTCTATGTATCCAGATACATGTATCTAGGACACCAAATATATGTATCTAATGTGATTCACATGTATCTGAAATATCAAATATGTGAGCAAGATAAGAGTTGAGTGGTTAGCGAGATGGGAGGGAGGCAAGAGAGATGAGCGAAATTCGTCTATGTAACTTAGATACATGCAAATCCACTTAGATATAGTGTATCTAGAACAAATTACACATAATTTTAACTCATGTATCTTGATTGAGATACATGTATCTGAACATATCTGTACACACAAAAATTTGATAAGATTCATAATATTGCAAATTAACGTATATCTACATTATTAGTTCATAAACTAATAAAATTTCGGTAAGTTACCCTAAAATAAAGTTATTTTCATGTTTGAACAATATATATATATATATTTGTCAATGCAAGTAATTAAAAAGGAAAATTCTCTAACGTATTCTTTTTGTATATATTCTTTTATGATGATATATTTGTCAAATATTGCTTTGACTTTATGAACAGGATGGAAAAGTTGGGATTAAGGTTGAAAAGCACTCTGGCAAAGTTTATTGGGACAACAATATTAATACTTGGGGCACTGCTTATGACTTTTTATAGAGGCCCTCCAATTTTTTCAAATCAATCAATTACACCCTCCAATAATTTTCATCAACTTCACATCAGTACAAAATCAAATTGGATCCTTGGAGGATTTCTCCTTGCTACTGCTAATTTGCTACTTGCAATCTTGTACATAGTCCAGGTATATATATATATAGTATCCGTTGAAAATATAATTAAGTTAATAAAAGTATTCGCGCTAAAAATATAATAATTATTTATTGTATGATCGATCAGGCATGGACTATAAATGATTATCCAGAAGAATTCGTGGTGACTACTGTTACTTGTGGCTTAGTAACAATTATTTCAGGTGTGGTTGGATTAATTGCTGAACAAAATTTGAGTTCTTGGAGACTTAAACCAGATTTGGAGTTGATTACTGTTTGTTATGCTGTAAGTATACACTAATATATCGAAATAATTTTAATTTATTCGCGTTTGATATTTATTAATATAGTTAATTTAACATAGATATATAAATATTGAGTGTTAAAATTACATTTGGGTAGGAGAAAAGGAAATGATCAGTGAGGAAATTATAAGGCAAGGAATCGAACTCTTGTCAGCAAGGTAAAAGCTGACACAGTTAACCACTAAGCATACTTTTTTGGAAAAACTATAATTAGACATACTTTATTACCATATATATATTACTCCTCCGTCCCATTTTATGTGAGGTACTTTGACTCGGCACGAAGTTTAAGAAAGAAAAGAAGACTTTTAAAACTTATGGTCCAAAATGAATGATAGAAATTTGTGTGGCTGTAAATCATTTCATTAAGGGTAAAATAGACATTTTATAGTCAAATTGTTACTTAATATAGAAATGTGTCATTCTTTTTGGGACTGACTAAAAAGGAAAGTAAGTCACATAAATTGGGACAAATGGAGTATTATTATTACTTCCTCCGTCCACTTTTAATTGTCATGGTTTCCTTTTTTAGAGTCAAACTATAAAAACTTTGACTAACATTTTACGATATATTTTTTCATCATATTGATATGCAATAAATTGCAATTTATAGTACTTTTCGTATAGTTTTTGAATATCTAAGTTTTTTGTTTAAAATATTGAATTAATGTAATCTAATTATTTAACTTTGGAAATTAGTCAAGTTAACTTTCGAAAAACGCAACATGAAAATAGGATTGGACGAAGGTCGTATTATTATTACCTATACTTTCAAAAGGTTACATATCTTACCACTAATTAAGAATTTCATACCATATATTAAGAAATATACACTTAGATACATATATTTTTGCTACCAGATGCACTAAAATAGGGAGAGAGGTGAGCGAGATGGGAGAGAGGTGAGGGAGGCGAGTGAGATTTGTTATGTATTTCATATACATGTGAATCTACTTTGGATACAATGCATCTAAAATAAATTACACCTAATTTAGATCTCATATATCTCGAGCTACATGTATCTGGACGTATCTAAACGTATTTGGGCGCACCTAAATCTGATAATATAGTTAATATTGTAAACTAGAGTAAATATAAGTAATCACCTCCTAAACTAGTGGAATTTGTGTAAGTTTCTTACGTTTTTTTTTCTTTTATTTGCAGGCAATTTTGATGATAGTCCTTAGAAGTCTAGTTTTTATTTGGGCATTGAAGAAGAAAGGACCTGTTTTTGTTGTAATGATAAAGCCACTTGGAATGATAGCTGCAGTCATAATGGGGGTCATTTTTCTTGGTGATGTTCTTCATGTTGGAAAGTTAGTAATTAAATTAATTACTCCATTAATAATTTCAAGATTCCTTCTTTTAATCTTTTATTAATTATAAGTTAATGGCTAATTTTTCTATGATTTTTTTTGAATTTTTTGCAGTATAATTGGTGGAATGATCATAGCTTTGGGTTTCTATTGTGTGATGTGGGGAAAAGCTAAAGAGGAAATGTGTGTTAAAGACATAAGCAAGGATTCTACAAGAGTATCTTTACTACATAGGCAAAGTGATAATAATGCATGAGTGTTTTGTTTTTCTTTTAAATCGTATTTATTTTTATTTTTAAGGGATAGGATAACTGGTAAGTGAATGCGTACATATCATTCTCTTCAATTTTATTTGAATGATTACAGAAATTGGATATGTTATTATTGTTTATAGTTACAATGAATGAGATATTATATGAGTATATGTGCTAATGCCAAATTAGGAAAAACAATCATTTTTGGCACATACATGATACACTATATAAATATAACATATTAAAAAAAATTCTTAATTAGACACCGGACTGAAACTTGTTTCCTTTCTCGTTCTTTATATAAATATATCATATATAAAAAAACAATCATTTTTGACACGATTAGTTCAATAATTTTCTTCCTCGTCAATGATTAAGGCCTTAAACCAAACTGTGTCAACAACATTATTTAATTATATTAATTTATTTTATGGTGCAATGAATATATAAAATACTCAACTGTCCCACCAATAATATTTTCTTTTATTTTTGTCCCTCTATTATATAGTTTTATCCAACTCCTTGAATAATATTTGATTAAAATGAAGAAAAATAGTACTTGAAGTGGAAATTGGAAAAAATAAATATAAGTAGTTGTTTCTATAAAGATGGATCTTAGACCTAACTTAACCTCAAAAACTAAATTATGAGGGGAGGATTGCTCAAGTTCATATAAATAGACCATCAGTCCATTTTCCAATCAATATGAGATTTTTACCACTCTAACACCTCCTTCACGCCTAAGCCCAACCGGAACGTGGATCGGAAGCCCAAACGGGGATGAACCTAACTCTGATACCATATAAAACTATATGAACTATATGAACTGATGTATATTATTGATCGATTTGCTTTTACATAACATATACATGGGTATATATAGAATTCTAACTACATGAGATAAGGGAAAGTAGAGATATAATACCACTCTAACTGTTTCTAATATAAATTTCACTTGATAATTTTATTTTTTGTGAAAAACATTAGTATTTCACTTAAAATTACTTGTCAAACAATTAGTATTTCCAATAGTCAAACTTCAACTTGACAATAAATAAATAAAAAAGGTTCTATCAATGTGGGGCTAAAATAATTAATTAAAGCAATATATATCTTGATTATAAAATAAGATATATAATCTTGCTAAATCATCTCCAACAAATTAAGAAAAATGAAAGGATCATCATGGAAGGAGATGTTGATGCCTAGTGTAGGAATGATTTTTGCAATAATAGCCATAGTTATAAGTATGATAATTAGCAAAATAGCCATGTCTAAAGGACTTAGCAGCTTCATTATTGTTGTCTACTCAAATGCTGTTGCTACTCTCATCCTTTTCCCTCCTTCCATCTTCATCTTTATAACAAGGTTCTTCTTCTTCTTTCATCTCATTACTCTTCTCAATTGATGTGTTTCCTTATTTATTTCATGAAATTACTTGAATTCTTGATCTATCAATTGGTGTTTGGAGTTAAAGGTATCTTTGTTAAGTGTTCCTACACAACTAGTGGTAAGTCTGACGATACTCCATGGAATCTAAGTCACTACACCTATCAAGTCTTCGGCCCCTTCCTGTCGAGGTTTGGTCTAATCGTTTGGAATTCAATCTTTTAGTAATGTATATAAATCAGAAGTGGTTGTAAATACTGATGATAATTTATCGTCTTATCTTCATTTTACTTAAAAGGTGCATGAGTTAGAATTTATTTATTTTTGAATTTTAAAAAGGTATTTTATTAAGTTGTTGATAAATTATTTATAGTCATATTAAGTGAATATTTAACAATAAAAATATTTCCTTCATTTCTATTTAATTGTCAAATTTTCATTTGATACATCTATTAAAAAAAATAATGATTAATATAATAAATTTATCATTTTACTCCTGTTAATTTGTAGATCACGGCGCCGTCCATTGACCTTCTCGGTGTTTTGGAGAATCTTGTTGCTTGCTTTAAGCGGGTAATTAGCACTCTATTTTGTATTAATAATTAGAACCAAAGTTTTTTTTTTCCAATTTTCCATTCGGTGTTTCATATTTATATTAGAGTCTGATTAAATTTGGATTCGCGTTAGAAAATCCCACATTGAGGGATAAAGTGTTTTCTAACAAAGACGACTTCATACCCAGAGGAACTCGAAACCGAGACCTCTAGTTAAAAGATGAAGGAGTACTTACTATTTCACTAAAGCCCTTGTTGGTAAGAGTTTCTTTATTGACACATCAAAGAACTGTATTTAAGTTCAAATTTTTGTATTGCTTTTATACGACTCATTTTCTTTTTTAATCATCAATCCCAAAAGAAGAATACACCTCCAATTTAACTTTAGAACGTTCATTTTATCCTTAATAAAATAATTTATAGTAGCATAAATATTTATGACTTATTTCAGATTACAAGTTTTAAAATTCTATGTTAGATTATGTGATGAATCAAACTATACAATACATAAATTAGGACGGAGTAATTAATTTTCTTATGGAGGAATTCTTGTTTGATGTGTTTAATTAGGTGTTTTGGGCAAATATGTGATTATGTTGGTATAAGTTATAGCTCTCCAACACTTGCCACAGCAATGCTCAATCTTATTCCAGGATTTACTTTCATCCTTGCCATTACTTTCAGGTACCTATATATATATATATATTCTCTTGGCTTTGTCAAATTTAGTTTCCTTGTCTTTTTAGTTATTTTTTTCTAACAAATGTGATAAATAAAAATTTTATGTATAGGAAATGATCTCTTCATTCATCATGTTGAATGGAAAAAAAATGATCTTTTTCAGATTTTTTTGTATGTTGTTATTTTCATATTTTTTTTATATGTAAATGAAGATTTCTCATAAAAATGACATCAAATTAGAAGTAAATTTATAAAGGATTAGACAAAACCAATCAACCTATTTGAGGAAATGATCTTTCACTTTCATGTTAAATTATATTGTTACTCTCTCTATTTTAATTTTATAATTTTAAATTATAATAAAGTTCCATAATAAATATTGGATGCGAGTAAGTGATTTAGATATGTTGATTGCCCCTTGATAGGATGGAAGTGATCAATTGGAAAAGTTGGAGTAGCTATGCCAAAGCCTTTGGCACTTTTGTTTCAATTGGAGGTGCATTTGTTTTGACATTTTATAAGGGCCCTCCAATCATTAACCAACACTTGACTTCTACTTTCTCATCTCAACAAAATTGGATTCTTGGAGGAGTTATACTTGCTTGTGAGTCTATGTCTACTTCACTATGGTACATTATTCAGGTCAGATTTGATTGTTTGGTATGACGAAAGTAATTTTTTACTTTTAAAAATATATTTTTCACCAACAAAACATCAAAAAATGACTTTCGATCATTTATCATTTTTCGAAAAATATTGAACATGGTGCCATACACATACTCCATTAGTGCCTAAACATTTTGAATGTGTATGGTACGACAAAAATAATATTTTACTTTTAAAAATGTATTTTCTGCCAACGAAACGTTCAGAAAATGACTTTTGGGCATGTGTGATTAATTAACTATGATAATTTATTTATTTTTTAGGCTTCAATTCTTAAGATATACCAAGAAGTGATGATTATAGTGTGTTTGTATTCTTTCCTTGTGACCATCATATCTGCATTGATATCCCTTTTGGTGGAGAGAAATCCAAATGCTTGGATGATATATCCAGATATTCGTCTCATTGCTATTCTCTATTCGGTAATACTAACAACAAACTCACATTCCTTTTATTTCTAACTCTAATAATCTATAAGATAGTAAAATTAATTCACGAAAATATAACTTGTCTATGTTATTTATGATTGGACATGTAAATGACTCACTTATATTAAGTCAAATCATCTAATGTAGGTTGATTTGAAGTACAAGTATTGATTTATTAGAAAATTTGTCAAAATATTTTTAATTTTTGTTATTTGATATGTTAAAACAAATTATTGGGGATAATTATAAAAATTACAAGAAAACAAACAAGGAAATCAATTTCAGAAAAAGAAAGTTTGAAGTTGGTCTTGTCAAGGCCAGAACTTTTGTAAAAGATTGCTCGAAGTTAGGCTTGTCAAGGTCAAAACATCAGTGAAATATGTCTGAAGTTGGCTGGCAAGCCATTACATATCTGAAGTCTTGACAAGGTTACAATTTCAATAAAAACTATATCCAAAGTCGGGCCTTGTCAAGTCTACAATTTCAGTCAATAATATATGAAGTTAATCTTGACAAGCCATAGTATATATCTGAAGTCTTGCCAAGACCACAAGTTCAAGCAAAAATGTCCAAAGTTTGGCCTTGTCAAGTTCAGAACTTCAATAAAAGAATATCTGAAGTTGATCTTGGAAAGTCATATCAAACTTCAGATAAAAATGTCTGATGTTTGACCTTCACTAAGAAGAGGAAGGATATATCAATAGACAAAAGTATCCATTGTACTTATTTAAGACAATTAACTTACATTAGAATTTGTTCATTCAGGGTATAGTTGGTATAGCATTCAGGAGTTGCATGACAACATGGTGCCTCAAGAAGACAGATCCTCTCTTTGTTTCCATGTTCAAACCATTTGCCATTGTTTTTGCTCTTCTCATTGGTACCTTTTGCTATAGAGATGTTTTCTACTTAGGAAGGTATGTATTGTTACTTATTAATTATCATAAATACTCTTTTTAATTTGAGATAAGTATTGAAAATACCTTTAAACTTGGTTCGAATTATTAGTTTCATATCTAAACTATTGACAGTCTTAAAAACATCCATCTACTTGACTAATTGAACTTAAATAAATAAACTCCCAATCTTGCCACATGGGTGAAATACACCCCTAAATTCTCACCAAGTTTGGGGTTGTTTTCAACACTTCTTGCGGCTTTCTATTAAAAGTCTCACGCTCCTACAAGAGTTTCAGACCACTTGTCATTCCATGTGGCAGATCGGGGTGTATTTAAAATCAACTAGTCAAGTAGAGGGGTGTTTTTAAGGCTGTCAATAGTTTGGAGACTAAACTAACAATTCGTGCCAAGTTCGTAAGTGTTTTCAACACTTCTCTCTTTTAATCCTAAATATGCATCGTTTTGACAAAATAAATTTGTTTTAAAATATTTAAATATTTATTTTAGAAAAAACAAGAAATATTTATTATGTTTTTTCAAATTCATTTTTATTGCTCTAATAAATAAAGTTTAATTAAGTGAAAAGTTTAATAGAGGTAAATGTTATTTTTGATTCAGACAAATATAATATTTTTATAATTAAAACTATTGGATATCTTTTTTAAAAGGTGTACAAACACGTTAAAAAAAACTAATAATATGGACCAGATGTAGTAATACATGATGAATTATGTAACTTTTGACAAATAATCTTAATTTATTACTCCCTCTCTTCTGTTTTATGTAGTACTAATCCTTAATAATATGGTATTAAAGCTGCAAAAAGCTCACGGCAGGTTTAACATTATTCTAGGACTCTTTTATCATTTTAAAATTTTTTGTATTCAATTACAAATTGTCGATAGGTCATATAAAATGAAACGGATTGAGGGGGTAAAATTAACATTAAGATATGATATGTGTACTAATATAGACATTTGTTTGCAGTTTGGTGGGATCAGTGACCACAGTGATTGGATTTTATGCTGTGATGTGGGGGAAAACTCGAGAAAAATACTATGAGGGGAACAACTTAGAAACACTTGCTGAAAATAATGTCCCTCTGCTGCAAAATGAGGCATAAATGCGGTGTTTGAGTCAATTCGTGTGCATTTCAATTAATTTTATTAGATACATGTTATCTTCCACCAGCATAAATACATAATCAATTCATTTTCAGGAAAGGAATAATTGTATGTTGTTGTAAAGATGGTGTTTTAAATTTATGCTGTGTTAAATCAATATCAAAAAATAAATAAAAATAATTTAATCAAGTAACATTTTTAGTTAATTTTCTTGAGTAACATGTAAAAAGAACATGATAACTAAAATGGAACAAAATAGTATATCATAACCTTGGGAAAAAATTGAGCATAATACGATCCCTGACATACTTCTAGAAACACTACGTAACTATGATATGTAGACTGTAAAATATTATTTAACCAATTATTATTTCAATTGGATGTCTATATAATTTAAAAACTCAATAATATTTGAAGATCAGAATAATGTCTACATAGTCGAATTCAGTAGTTTCTTATTCAAATGATGTATTTGTCTTAATTCATTGATATGTTCTTTTAGAATTCAATTACTTAAACAAGATTAGAATCCGGAAAATCAATATAAGTTTAAAATCCTGACTTCGTTTCTGAATTTATTTTGATTTCTTTATTTTAATGCCATTTTTGTCCAACAGAATGAGGCCTTGCAGAAAGCTCAATTTTTCTATATTCTCTAGGATGATTCTTCTTGCCTTCCTCAGGTACTTGATCATGAAATTGATTTTTTATTTTTTTAAAAATTTATTTTGTTCATGTTGTTGTTGGTTATTATGACTTTAATTATGGCTTTAATATTGTTTTTATTTTTCTTTTTTGTGACACAAATAAAAAGCTGCTCTGTACAAATATTGTTGTGCTTTGGGATAGGGTATAGCAATCCAATTTTGGCCTCAGCAATGACAGATGTTGTTCCAGCTTTTACTTTCCTAATTGCTGTAATTGCAGGGTAAGTTACACATATTATTAGCATAATATTATTAATTTGATTTTCTTTTTCAATTCTTACGAGATTTCAAGCTAGATAGATACATGTGTTTTGCTACCATATACACTGAAATAGGGATAGAGACTAGCAAAAATTAAACAGGAGGGAGACGAACAAGATTTGACTATGTATCCAGGACACCAAATACAAGTATCTAGTGTGATTCACATGTATCTGAAATATCAAATATGTGAGCAGGATAGGAGAGTGGTTAGCGAGATGGGAGGGAGGCAAGAAAAATGAGCGAGATTCGTCTATATAACTTAGATACATGCAAATTCACTTAGATATAGTGTATCTAGAACAAATTACACATAATTTTGACTCATGTATCTTGATTGAGATACATGTATCTAAACATATTTGTACACAAATTTTTTTGATAAGATTCGTAATATTGCAAATTAACGTATATCTAAATAATTAGCTCATAATATAAACTAATAAAATTTCGGTAAGTTACCCTAAAATAAAGTTATTTTCATGTTTGAACAATATATATATATATATTTGTCAATGCAAGTAATTAAAAAGGAAAATTCTCTAACGTATTCTTTTTGTATATATTCTTTTATGATGATATATTTGTCAAATATTGCTTTGACTTTATGAACAGGATGGAAAAGTTGGGATTAAGGTTGAAAAGCACTCTGGCAAAGTTTATTGGGACAACAATATTAATACTTGGGGCACTGCTTATGACTTTTTATAGAGGCCCTCCAATTTTTTCAAATCAATCAATTACACCCTCCAATAATTTTCATCAACTTCACATCAGTACAAAATCAAATTGGATCCTTGGAGGATTTCTCCTTGCTACTGCTAATTTGCTACTTGCAATCTTGTACATAGTCCAGGTATATATATATATAGTATCCGTTGAAAATATAATTAAGTTAATAAAAGTATTCGCGCTAAAAATATAATAATTATTTATTGTATGATCGATCAGGCATGGACTATAAATGATTATCCAGAAGAATTCGTGGTGACTACTGTTACTTGTGGCTTAGTAACAATTATTTCAGGTGTGGTTGGATTAATTGCTGAACAAAATTTGAGTTCTTGGAGACTTAAACCAGATTTGGAGTTGATTACTGTTTGTTATGCTGTAAGTATACACTAATATATCGAAATAATTTTAATTTATTCGCGTTTGATATTTATTAATATAGTTAATTTAACATAGATATATAAATATTGAGTGTTAAAATTACATTTGGGTAGGAGAAAAGGAAATGATCAGTGAGGAAATTATAAGGCAAGGAATCGAACTCTTGTCAGCAAGGTAAAAGCTGACACAGTTAACCACTAAGCATACTTTTTTGGAAAAACTATAATTAGACATACTTTATTACCATATATATTATTATTATTACTTCCTCCGTCCACTTTTAATTGTCATGATTTCCTTTTTTAGAGTCAAACTATAAAAACTTTGACTAACATTTTACGATATATTTTTTCATCATATTGATATGCAATAAATTGCAATTTATAGTACTTTTCGTATAGTTTTTGAATATCTAAGTTTTTTGTTTAAAATATTGAATTAATGTAATCTAATTATTTAACTTTGAAAATTAGTCAAGTTAACTTTCGAAAAACGCAACATGAAAATAGGATTGGACGAAGGCAGTATTATTATTACCTATACTTTCAAAATGTTACATATCTTACCACTAATTAAGAATTTCATACCATATATTAAGAAATATACACTTAGATACATATATTTTTGCTACCAGATGCACTAAAATAGGGAGAGAGGTGAGCGAGATGGGAGAGAAGTGAGGGAGGAGAGTGAGATTTGTTATGTATTTCATATACATGTGAATCTACTTTGGATACAATGCATCTAAAATAAATTACACCTAATTTAGATTCCATGTATCTCGAGATACATGTATCTGAACGTATCTAAACGTATCTGGGCGCACCAAAATCTGATAATATACGTAATATTGCAAACTAGAGTAAATATAAGTAATCACCTCCTAAACTAGTGGAATTTGTGTAAGTTTCTTACGCTTTCTTTTTCTTTTATTTGCAGGCAATTTTGATGATTGTCCTTAGAAGTCTAGTTTTTATTTGGGCATTGAAGAAGAAAGGACCTGTTTTTGTTGTAATGATAAAGCCACTTGGAATGATAGCTGCAGTCATAATGGGGGTCATTTTTCTTGGTGATGTTCTTCATGTTGGAAAGTTAGTAATTAAATTAATTACTCCGTTAATAATTTCAAGATTCCTTCTTTTAATCTTTAATTAATTATAAGTTAATGGCTAATTTTTCTATGATTTTTTTTGAATTTTTTGCAGTATAATTGGTGGAATGATCATAGCTTTGGGTTTTTATTGTGTGATGTGGGGAAAAGCTAAAGAGGAAATGTGTGTTAAAGACATAAGCAAGGATTCTACAAGAGTATCTTTACTACATAGGCAAAGTGATAATAATGCATGAGTGTTTTGTTTTTCTTTTAAATCGTATTTATTTATATTTTTAAGGGATAGGATAACTGGTAAGTGAATGCGTACATATCATTCTCTTCAATTTTATTTGAATGATTACAGTAATTGAATATGTTATTATTGTTTATAGTTACAATGAATGAGATATTATATGAGTATATGTGCTAATGTCAAATTAGGAAAAACAATCATTTTTGACACATACACTATATAAATATAACATATTAAAAAAAATTCTTAATTAGACACCGGACTGAATCTTGTTTCCTTTCTCGTTCTTTATATAAATATATCATATAAAAAAAAAACAAATCATTTTTGACAGGTTTAGTTCAATAATTTTCTTCCTCGTCAATGATTAAGGCCTTAAAGTCAACAACCTTATTTAATTATATTAATTTATTTTATGGTGCAATGAATATATAAAATACTCAACTGTCCCACCAATAATATTTTCTTTTATTTTTGTCCCTCTATTATATAGTTTTATCCAACTCCTTGAATAATATTTGATTAAAATGAAGAAAAATAGTACTTGAAGTGGAAATTGGAAAAAATAAATATAAGTAGTCGTTTCTATAAAAATGGATCTTAGACCTAACTCAACGTCAAAAACTAATTTATGAGGGGAGGATTGCTCAAGTTCATATAAAGAGACCATCAGTCCATTTCCCAATCAACGTGGGATTTTTACCCACTCTAACACCTCCTTCACACCTAAGCTCAACTGGAATGTGGATCGGAAGCCCAAACGTGGATAAACCTAACTCTGATACCATATAAAACTATATGAACTGATCTATATTATTGACCGATTTGCTTTTACATAACATAAACATGGATATATATAGAATTCTAACTACATGGGATAAGGTCATGCAAGTAGATATATAATACAACTCTAACTGATTTTCTAATATAGTAAATGTCACTTGATAATTTTATTTTTTGTGAAAAACATTAGTATTTCACTTAAAATTACTTCTCAAACAATTAGTATTTCCAATAGTCAAACTTCAACTTGACAATACATATATAAAAAAGGCTCTATCAATGTGGGACTAAAATAATTAATTAAAGCAATATCTTGATTATAAAATAATACACAAAAAGGGGGGAAAATCTTGCTAAATCAACTCCAAACAAATTAAGAAAAATGAAAGGATCATCATGGAAGGAGATGTTGATGCCTAGTGTAGGAATGATTTTTGCAATAATAGCCATAGTTACAAGTATGATAATTAGCAAATTAGCCATGTCTAAAGGACTTAGCAGCTTCATTATTGTTGTCTACTCAAATGCTGCTGCTACTCTCATCCTTTTCCCTCCTTCCATCTTCATCTTTATAACAAGGTTCTTCTCTTTCATCTTCATTATTGTTGAATTTTTGATCTATTGATTGGAGTAAAGGTGTCCTTGTTAAGTGTTCGTAAAGGCAGAGCCAGGATTCTGAATTTTAAAAAGATAGTTTATTAAGTTCTTAATCAATTATTTATAGTATATGTTAAAGTGAATTTTTAACATAAATACATAATTTGGATCATAGCTAGCTACTAATTAAGTTATACGCCAAACTCGTAAGTCAAATTGTAGCTCTGTATTGTTGTTGGAATGTCATATTGTCTTGGATTCTTAAAAAAATATTCAACTTTTGAGATTGAATAAGGTTCAAGATCAATTTTCTTACTATTATACGTATCAGAGTTGTTGTGTAAGGACAGTGGATTAACTAGCATTAAATCACATACAAAGCAAACACAAAAGAAAAATAACACAAGAATTTAACGAGATTGGACTAGGTCTAATCCTCAGAGTAGAAATACTAGCTACTTGAACTTTCACCATATAGTTGGTGAGGGTTCGACTCCCCACCTTTTAATCCCCTTCCCATTATTTTTATCTTGAACATGACTAATTTTCCTTTTTAATTTTTTTTTTTTTTTTTTTGTAGATCAAGACGTCGTCCATTGACCTTCTCGGTTATTTGGAGAATCTTGTTGCTTGCTTTAAACGGGTAATTAGTATTCCCTCCGTCCCTTTTTAGTTTTCATGTTGCATTTTTCTAGAATCAATTTAATTAGTTTTCAAAGGTAAATTAGATTACATTAATTTGATATTTTAAAATAAAATTTTAAATATTTAAAAACTATATGAAAAGTACTATAAATTGCAACATTTTTCACATCAATATGATGAAAAAATACATCTTAAAATATTAATCAAAATTCATACCATCTTAAAAAGGAACAGAGGGAATACTATTAAGTAGAATCAAATGTTTTTTTTACTGACTTATCATAGAAGTGCTATTTAAGTTTTAAAAACAATTGTACTACTTTAAGACTAAAACAAGTACTCTTTGTCTTAATTTATGACTCATATTCTATATTTAGTAAATCGTTTAATTTTAAAATGTTCATTTTATTCTTAATGAAATAATATAATCACACAACTTTGTATGATTTATTATAGTTCATAAGTTTCAAAAGTCTTTTTTTCTTTTATAAGCTCTGTGTCAATTCAAACTACATTACATAAATTGAAATGACGGAAGTAGTAATTAATTTCTTAAGGAAAATGGTTGTTTGATGTGTTTAATTAGGTGTTTTGGGCAAATATGTGATTATGTTGGTATAAGTTATAGCTCTCCAACACTTGCCACAGCAATGCTCAATCTTATTCCAGCTTTTACTTTCATTCTTGCCATTACTTTCAGGTATCTCTCTCTTGGCTTAATTTGTCAAGTTTAGTTTTTTTTTTTTTTCTTCTTTTTTAGTTTTTTTTCCCCTATCAAATGTGATAAATAAAAAGTTAATTTACCTTCAAAAAAATCCATTTGAGGAAATTCTCATATGGTCATTTATAATTTTGAAGGAAAGAAAAATGATCTTTTCAGAATGCATATACATGTTTACATACATACTTTGTTAAATTACTATAGTAAGTTAATAAATGTATTATGTGTATGAATATACATAAATATCACTTAATTTTGATTAATTAATATATATACATATATATTGGATATTTGTAATATATAGACGTCTTAAATTAAACAAACACATATGTTCAGAAAAGAACATGACTATTATGAAAAGTCATCTCTTAAGTTCTATAAATATAAAGACTCTCTAGAAGTAGCCTAAGAAAAATCTGTAGGTATATAAATACCAAGCCTTTGATGTAACCCGAAGGAGTTTTTATTTTTAAAAAATATTCTTGCGTGTCATATATCCTTGCGCAGGGGTCATGCTAATCTTCTCTGTATCATTCCAATTTTATCAGATGTCCCCGAAGGGACCAACCCGAAGGAAATTGCTTGTACTTTCCCCCAATATGTATGCATGCAATATCTCTTTAAGAAATGTGATTCTTCACGCCTCAAAACCATATTCTTTTTAAATTGTATTTCCTATTTTTCTAACAATATATACTTTGTTAAATCATTGAACCATAGTAAGTTCCATTATAAATATTCTATGGAGTAAGTGAATTAGATATGTTGATTGCCACTTGATAGGATGGAAGTGATGAATTGGAGAAGTTGGAGTAGCTATGCCAAAGCCTTTGGGGCTTTTGTTTCAATTGGAGGTGCATTTGTTTTGACATTTTATAAGGGCCCTCCAATCATTAACCAGCACTTAACTTCTACTTTCTCATCTCAACAAAATTGGATTCTTGGAGGAGTTATACTTGCTTGTGAGTCTTTGTCTACTTCACTATGGTACATTATTCAGGTCAGATTTGATTGTTTGGTACGACGAAAGTAATTTTTTAGTTTTAAAAGTATATTTTCCACCAACAAAACATTAGAAAATGACTTTCGATCACTTATTTTTTTGAAGTCATTTTTTGAAAAATATTGAACATGGTGCCGAACACACTCACATACTCTATTGGTGCCTAAACAGTTGAATGTGCATGCATGTTTGGTAGGACGAAAGTAATTTTTACTTTTGAAAATGTATTTTCTACCAACGAAACATCAAAAAATGACTTTTAGGTATGTGCGATTAATTAACTATGATAATTTTATTTTATTTTTGTTTTTGATTTTTTAGGCTTCAATTCTTAAGATATACCAAGAAGAGATGATTATAGTGTGTTTGTATTGCTTCTTTGTGACCATCATATCTGCATTGATATAAACCCTGAGGGGTAGCTCAGCTGGTAAAGGCCTGGGACAAAGTCCTTCAGGTCGCCGGTTCGAGCCCCAGCAGGGCCACTGGAGGCATTACAAACCGGCCGCGTCTCCAGGGCCCCGTGGAACTAACCGTGGTGGACCCGCCTTGAAACAGCGGGACCCGGTGGGTACAGCTAGTCGGGTTCGCAAAGCGACGCCCGGAAACCACGGTAAAAAAAAATAAAAAAAAAAATATCTGCATTGATATCCCTTGTGGTGGAGAGAAATACAAATGCTTGGATGATATATCCAGATATTCGTCTCATTGCTATTCTCTATTCGGTAATACTAACAACAAACTCACATTCCTTTTATTTCTAACCTAATAATCTATAAGATAGTAAAATTATTCACGAAAATATAACTTGTCTATGTTATTTATGATTGGACGTGTAAATGACTCACTTATATTAAGTCAATTCATCTAATGTAGGTTGATTTGAAGTACAAGTATTGCTTTATTAGAAAATTTGTCAAAATATTTTTAAATTTTTGTTATTTGATATGTTAAAACAAATTATTGGGGATAATTATAAAAATTACAAGAAAACAAACAAGGAAATCAATTTCAGAAAAAGAAAGTCTGAAGTTGGTCTTGTCAAGTCAATAACTTTTGTAAAAGATTGCTCGAAGTTAGGCCTTGTCAAGGTCAAAACATCAGTGAAATGTGTCTGAAGTTGGCTGGCAAGCCATTACATATCTGAAGTCTTGACAAGGTTACAATTTCAATAAAAACTATATCCAAAGTCGGGCCTTGTCAAGTCTACAATTTCAGCCAATAATATATGAAGTTAATCTTGACAAGCAACCATAGTATATAGCTGAAGTCTTGCCAAGACCGCAAGTTCAAGCAAAAATGTCCAAAGTTTGGCCTTATCAAGTTCAGAACTTCAATAAAAGAATATCTGAAGTTGATCTTGTCAAGTCATATTAAACTTCAGATAAAAATGTCTAATGTTTGACCTTCACTAAGAAGAGGAAGGGTATATCAATAGACAAAAGTATCCATTGTACTTATTTAAGACAATTAACTTACATTAGAATTTGTTCATTCAGGGTATAGTTGGTATAGCATTCAGGAGTTGCATGACAACATGGTGCCTCAAGAAGACAGATCCTCTCTTTGTTTCCATGTTCAAACCATTTGCCATTGTTTTTGCTCTTCTCATTGGTACCTTTTGCTTTAGAGATGTTTTCTACTTAGGAAGGTATGTATTGTTACTTATTAATTATCATAAATACTCTTTTTAATTTGAGAAGAGTATTGAAAATATCTTTAAACTTGGTGCGAATTATTAGTTTCATATCTAAATTATTGACAGTATTAAAAAAATCCTTTTACTTGACTAATTGAACTTAAATAAATAAACTCCCGATCTTGCCACATGGGTGAAATACACCCCTAAATTTTCGCCAAGTTTGGGGTTGTTTGCAACACTTCTTGCGGCTTTTTATTAAAAGTCTCACGCTCCTACAAGAGTTTCAGACTACTTGTCATTCCATGTGGCAGATCGGGGTGTATTTAAGATCAACTAGTCAAGTAGAGGGGTGTTTTTAAGGCTGTCAATAGTTTGGAGACTAAACTAACAATTCACGCCAAGTTCAGAAGTGTTTTCAATACTTCTCTCTTTTAATCCTAAATATGCATCGTTTTGACAAAATAAATTTGTTTTAAAATATTTAAATATTTTTTTTAGAAAAAACAAGAAATATTTATTATGTTTTTTCAAATTCCTTTTTACTGCTCTAATTAATAAAGTTTAATTAATTGAAAAGTTTAATAGAGGTAAATGTTATTTTTGATTCAGGCAAATATAATATTTTTATAATTAAAACTATTGAATATCTTTTTTAAAAGGTGTACAAACACGTTAAAAGACTAAATAATATGGATCAGATGTACTAATACATGAATTCTGTAACTTTTGACATTAATTTTAATTTATTACTCCCTCTTTTCAAAATTTAAAAAAATTAATCCTTAATAATATACTATTAAAGCTGCAAAAAGTTTAACGTCACTATATATATTCTAGGACTCTTTTATCATTTAAAATTTTTTTGTATTCAGTCAAATAACATTAAGACATGATATGTGTACACTAATATAGACATTTCTTGCAGTTTGGTGGGATCAGTGACCACAGTGATTGGGTTTTATGGTGTGATGTGGGGAAAAACTCAAGAAAAATACTATGAGGGGAACAACTTAGAAACACTTGCTGAAAATAATGTCCCTCTGCTGCAAAATGAGGCATAAATGCGGTGTTCGAGTCTGCTCGTGTGCATCTCGATTAATTTTATAAGATACATAATGTTATCTTCCACCAACATAAATATAGAATCAATTCATTTTCAGGAAAGAAATAATTGTATGTTGTTGTAAAAATAGTGTTTTAATTTATATTGTATTAAATTGATATAAATATGTAAATACAAATAATTTAATCAAGTTACTACATTTTTAGTTAATTTTCTTGAGAAATGTGTTAAAAAAGCATGACAACTAAAATGAAACAACATAGTATATCATAACCTTGAGAAATAATTGAGCATAATACGATCTCTGACATACTTCTAAGAACACTATGTAACTATGATCTGTAGACTGTAAAATATTATTTAACCAATTATTATTTCAGTTGGACGTCGATATAATTTAAAAACTCAATAATTTTAATATTCATATAACAAACCACAATATTTATTAAAAAATTACAATAGTTTTTTCTTAAATGAATATATTGGTGCAAGTGATAAACACCACCTACCCACTATGTTCAATAAAATAAGGGAATAGTAATACCACGCATGCCGGTACGCATGAAATAAGTACAATAAAGAAAGTAGTCATAATAAAATTAAATTTGAAATATCACGTAGATCCATCGTTAATTTCGATTAATAATGACAAAAAGACAAATCAAGAATATATAAATATACACTAAAAATAGACAATTAAAATATTGTGACATATCGATATATGTTCCTTCCCATACAATTTGATTACTTCTAGGAACCTCATTAATTTGAATTTACATTAAAGCAAATTCAAACCTGTTCATTGGTTTTTAGAACAACTTTGTAAATATATCTTCGATATGAAAATCGAAAGAAATCAGTTTGAACAAGTTTCGAATTGAAAATTTATTAGAGTTGATTAAATTTTTTCGATCTAAAGTGTTTCACGAGAAAATTCATCGTATATCAAGAGATGGAAATGAGTGGAGTGGTTCCATTTATAGCCATGATAGTTCAGCAATTAGCACAAGTTGGATTAGCTGTGGTAGCTAAAGTGGCTATGTCAACTGGGATGACTAGTTTCACTTATACTTTTTACTCAAGTGCTTTTTCAACTCTACTTCTTATTCCACTTTCCTTCTTCCTTCATAGGTATGTAAATCGATTAATGATTTGATTTGACTTGATTTGAGTGAGGGAAGAAATAATGATTATAATTAATTTGATTTGTAAGTATATGTTAATAAACACCATAATTTATGCTTTTAACATATTGTCCAGGTTTGAATTTATAATTTTAAAAAACTTCAAAAAATTAAAATGATTTTAAATAGGTTTGTTGTTATTTTGACAAATTTATGAATTGAAGTGTGTTCTTCCTGATATATGGAATTAATGTTTCAAATATGAGCTTATTTGGAGTAGATTTGGACGTCGAAATTTGAAAAATAAAATTATTATTTTCTTGACCAAAATAATTCAAACGCACATGCATGAAATTTTAGCCAATATTAATGTGTTTCAATTGTGTGTGACTGAAACTCATACATACTAAATTTTGTTGAGTGATTTTTTGATACAAAATACTCTCTTCGTTTCAAAAAGAGTGGTCTGATTTGACTTGATACAAAGTTTAAGAAATTAAAGAAGACTTTTGAATCTTGTAGTCCTAAATTAAAGTTATGTCAAATGTACAAAATCTAAAATCAGAAGTTGAGTGATTTTATTGATACAAAATAAAGTTTAGTGGCTCTGCTAGATAAACTCTTATACTTGAGTGACCTTTTGTGATATAAACTCTGATTTTTTTGATGACTCGAATCCACAATCTTAGAATTGGATGTGAATCATGCTTACCATTTGAGCACATGAGTGAATTCATATGAAAAATATGAGGCAGGTGAGTTCGTGGTCTCTCTGTAAAACTAGATATTTTATGTATATATTTTTTTCGAAAATACAGGTCAGCTATTCCACCTCTTTGGCCTGCTTTTCTCTATGGATTTTTCTTGCTTGGCATAATGGGGTATGTAAATGTAAATTTGTGGCTCAATTTAGCAATTCAATTTTAGAGAAAAAATGACTAATAACAGTGCAATTTTATAGTTTCTTGATGCAAGTGCTTGGATTTCTTGGACTTCAATATTCATCTCCATTACTTTCCACAGCAATATTGCAACTAGTTCCAGGATTCACTTTCATTCTTGCAGTCATTCTCAGGTTTAAAATTAAATCACCTTTCTTTTAACATATAATACTCCTTCCGTTCTTTTTTACTTGTCACTGTTTCCTTTTTTTTAAATCAGAAAATATGAATTTAGACTAACATAAATGTGCCCTTTAACTTGGCATCAACTGGCATATATGCCCTCCAACTTTGAGTGCGCACAAGTAAACACTTAAACTATTCAAAAGCAGGGGCGGAGCCAGCCTTCTGTTAGGGGGTTCATCCGAACCCCCTTTGGCGAAAAATATAATATTCATTCATGGTTAAAATTATTTTTTATGTATATATAGTAGATGTTGAACCCTCTTCAGTTAGTTCGTGTCATGTTTAGTTCTTCAAATTTTGAAACCCCTTATTAAAAATCCTAACTCCGCCACTATTCAAAAGTTGAACAAGTAAATAGACGCGTCCTATGTGGCGTCCTACGTAGCACTTCTGCATCCTACATGGCATCCTATGTGTGCTATGACATATAGGACGTGTGTGTCTACTTGTTTTTACTTTTAGATAGCTTAAATGTCTACTTATGCACATTCAAAGTTAGAGTGCATAGATGCCCGTCGAGGTTAAGTTAAAGGACATATGTATTATGCCTATTTTAACATGTATTTTTTCATCATAGTGATAGATATGAAAAAAATATGTAATTTATAGTCCTTTTCATATAGTTATTGAAAATCAAAAATTTAATGTACTTTGATTTAGCTTAGAAAGTTAGTCAAATAAACTTTCGGAAAACACAACGTGACAACTGAAAAGAAGAAGGGAGTAACCTTGTCAAAATTGTGTCTAAATATATGTTCAACTTTTATGTTCACTAATTTTATTTTATTTTTAAATCAGGATGGAAACTTTTGAGTACAAAAGTTTGAGCACAATGGCTAAAACTATTGGGACTTTGGTATCAATAATAGGTGCATTAGTTGCAACTTTATATAAAGGCCCTCAAGTTTTTGGAATTAGTCCTTTAAATACAATATTAACAACCCCTTCTGCTTGGGCCATTGGAGGTTTGCTCACTATGATTTGCTCTCTAATTGCTTCTTTCTTTATCATTTCACAGGTAATTAGAATTGTCAACAAATTACTATCTCTCTGTCTCAATTGATGTGACATAGTTGGAATTTCGAGATTCAAACTTCTAAACTTTGACTGTTAATTTAGACATAAATCTTTAAGCTTTAAGTATCATAAATCACAATCAACAACTTACATTATTTCAATCAAAAAGCTTGATTGACTCTCGAAATTCCAACTGTGTCACGTAAATTGGAAATTATTTTTCATCAATCATGATCTGTTTTTCCACTTTTCATGTTTTGCAGGCATTTGTCCTTAAGAAATATCCAGCAGAGTTGATTTTAATGTTGTTTTATAGCTGCTGTGTTACAATATTATGTGCTGTTTTCTCTTTGATTATTGAAAGAGACTTGAATTCTTGGAGTTTAAGCCCTCACAGCAGATTAATGGCTATCATATACTCGGTAACTAAGTCGATATATATAAGTTTAGTATATCTGAAAGGCAAATTCATGATTTAAACTTGATGAATTCGATCTTTAAAGGTTTTTATAATGCGTTATACTTGAAATAATGCAGGGTTTATTTGGAAATGTATTCCAAGTTTGTATAGGTGCATGGTGTGTGAGGAAAAAAGGACCTCTCTTTGTTGTCATGTTTCATCCATTAGGCATTGTTATTGCTATGGCTGCTAGCATATTTATGGGTGAAATTATTCATGTGGGAAGGTAAATCACACATGTTTAAGGTTTCATTTACTTTCTATTTATATTTGTTTTGTTATATTTGACGAGTCATGGATTCAGAATTTTGAATTAATAAATACAGTAATTGATGTGACATGATTTGTTTGAGTCGTTTTTTTTTGTTTTTTCTTTTGTAGTTTGGTGGGATCAATCATCATTGTGATTGGATTTTATTCAGTGATATGGGGACAAAGTAAAGAATGGCAAAAGAAAGAGAAGAACTTAGGATCACACAACAAGAAGATGCCATTATTACAAGACAAAATTGATGATGATCCTGAGGTTAATATATGAGACAATCTTTTTAAGGGCTAACACTTTGCTAGTGGGCTTATTGAAAGTTCTTTTGGGTTGGAATGTTTATGAACAATTACATTGTATCTCTATGAATATTCATTTTGCTCCTATCTTGTGCTGGTTTTTAATCTTCATTCACTCGTAAGTTGTAACAAATAATTTTTCGTATAACATAAGTTTATATTTTCATGTTTTAATATATAGGTGATGTTCGGGCATAACTTTAGTTTCTAAAGAACTTATGTCCCACTAAGTACACATTTTATTCCTAAAGGGCAAAAATTATAGACCAACCTATTTGAAGGACAAAATTTAAAGATCAGTTATTTAAAGAATAAAACGTGCAATTTTATAAAAAAGATTTCATACCTCAAATGTAGCAAAAAGATTTTGGTTTAATCATGTTCTTTCTTTCAAAGTTATAATATAAACCAACCCAATGCTTTGGTCCTGTGATAAAAAACACAATATGTGATGCGTAGATTAGATAGGTTATAAATTCAAATCTTATGGTAAATATAAAAACCTCATATTTAAGCTAAAAAGCATAAAGAAATTGACCCATTATCTCTCAAAGTTTCAAACCATACTACCAATAAATGAAGGAAAATAGCAAATGCAAGGAGATATCAACGTCGAAAGGTGTGGTCTAGTGGTCAATAAAGTGGTTATGAATCATGAAATTTCAGATATAGTGGTCACTAATCGATTCTTTTAATTTATCTTATCGTTGATGGACATGAACACACAATTATTTGATATTTATTATTGGCGAGGGATGCGTGGAAGATGGGACAACATTTAAAAAAAGAAAAGAAAAAGAGATACCAATCATTTGGACACGAACACAGGATTATCTGATATTTGTTACTGGTGAGAGATGCGTGAAAGATGCAAAAAAGAGATACCACTCATTTGGGGCCTCAGTATCCTAACAAACTTTGAAACTGATATTATCCACAGCTGAAGTCCAAGTTCAGAAACAAGACACTCAAAAATGGCGATGGAGATGAAGGTGAAGATGAAGGTAGCTTTGCCATATATAGGAATGGCTTCAACCCAATTCGCACAAGTGGGTTTAATGATAGTAGGCAAAAAAGCCATGTCCGCCGGAATGACCAATTACACTTTCGTCTTCTACTCCAACACTCTTGCCGCCCTTATTCTCCTCCCTTCTTTCTTCTTCTACAGGTACCCTTTCGCTTCAATTCGAAAAACCCACAAAAAAGATACCATCTTTAATTCATTTGATTGATTGTGTAGGTCAACTCGTCCGCCACTCAATTTCTCACTCATTTGTTGGTTTTTCTTGCTGGGTGTTCTTGGGTATGTGATTTTCTCATTTTCAATTGGATTATTTGTGAATTTTTTTGCTGTTTATTGAATCAGTAATTTTTCGTGTTTTTGTAGTTGTTCAGCTCAGCTAACTGGGTATACTGGGATTAATTATACTTCTGCTTCGTTTGCCTCAGCAATGCTCAACCTCATCCCAGGTTTTACTTTCATACTTGCCGTCATTTTCAGGTTTTTTTTTGTGCCCCTCTTCTCACTTTTTGCTCTAGTTGATTTTAGAGTAGAATGGAGTTTATGAAAGATGGACTAATTAGTCCTAGAGCTTGGTACTCGTAAACATAACGTGACATTTTTATAGCTAATATATCATTTAGGATAAAGTGAGAAGTCTAAGTTAATTAGTTTTCAAATATAAAAATGTGTCATTCTATTTGGAACAGACTAAAGAGAGAAGAATGCCATATAAATTAGAACATAGGGAGTATTCAGTAAGCGAGTTTATTTGATTTCAGGCATATCGTAAAACAGATTCCCTCTGAACTGGAGTTGTTCGTAATATGCTTTTTTCTACTTGGTGTAGTTATGTTTTTGATGTTACAAATGTTGCAGTTAGTAGTGTGACTGTTTCTTTGGTTTCAATCGTTATTATAATTGTTTTCAAATTTCTTCATTTCTATCCAATTATAGAGCACGCATGAACAAAAAAAATGTAATGGGGAGATTCTCGGGAAATTCAGGAACCATGGAAGGATAAGAAAGAATATAATGACGGTCTCTTTGATCACAAGATACTGGAAAAGTAACACATACACTTTTGTTTTGCTTTGTTTTAGGATGGAGAAATTAGATTGTCGAAGTACAAGTACCCTGATTAAATCCATTGGAACCATCGTCTCAATTGCCGGAGCATTCACCGCCACTCTTTACAAGGGACCACAAATTTTGTTGACTTCCTCTTCGAAGCCTCAAAATTATCTTCATTTCCAGGAAACTGACTGGATAATTGGAGGACTATATCTTGTAGTGGATTGTGTAGTGTCTTCGTTATATTTAATTGTACAGGTGTGAGAATAACTCCTTGAAAGTGACTCTTTTATTAGTTGAGAGTCAGCACTACAACTGATATATTTTTCCTTTTACAGGCTTCCGTCCTTAAGAAATATCCAGTTGAGCTGATTGTGGTCTTCTTTTACTGCTTCTTTGCATCCATTCTATCAGCAATTGTCTCTCTGTTTATGGACAGGAACTTAAATGCTTGGTTGCTACAACCTGGTACGAGATTGTTCGCTGTTCTATACTCAGTAAGTAGGTAAATTGTGTGCATTTATATTCTGTTTGCTCGTATAGTGAGTTTGTGACCATGCTAAGATATACATGGATGAAGTATTTGTAAGGCTCCTGGCGAGGTCCGCTACCAAAGAATTAGGAGTTATAACATTCATAAAATAAAGAAAAAACCAATATAGGAACTTCAACTAAGAAAGAAGAAGAATAAGAAGAATTACTTAAGTAAGGTAGTCGCTTCTCTTTTTCGGTATACCGCTCTGCTCGCAGAGCGAATTAACATAAATCTTTCCGAATATCATGAATATCCTTGTATGGAATTACTTAACCTGATTCTAGGTCTTCACCTGCTTGGTATCAGACGTAAATTCTAGCTAATTGTACATTTTCCTCCACCCAATCCCCTAATCGTAACTTAGCTCAATTTGATTCTATTAGAATTTAGACCTAGACTTTATCAATTGCAAACTAAGGTACGGTACTTTTCTATGTTTCTGCTCTTACTTAATCTCAGTTAGAGTGTTATGCAAAGGTGGGATCAGGTTAGGTACTACACTAGAGCACGGAGTTTGTTCTAAAGCATGAATCTCTGTTAGAAACAAAATAAAGATAGAGAAGGATAAGCTGGTCCATAATGAGTCTGATATGTACTGATTTTAGTGGGTGTTCCAAGAGTGTTCAGGTCGGGAAGTATGTGTTGGACAGTCAGTTAACATGTAATGATAGGAAAGGGAGGAGAAGAAGATATTGGCTAAGTGATCAATAAGTAAATAAATACTTCTAACTTTTGAAAAGTTTCTTTCTTCATGAATCTTCTTAAAAGTGAAAGAGGGGGAACCTAAATCTTTTGCCAACAAATTGCTTGTACTGTGAAAATGTAATGTGCCTTCTGAACAAGCACAACTTTCAATTGACAAACTACATTGGACAATAATATTGACTGTGGTTGGAATATATTTTTTCTCTATGCAACTGTTCCTTTATCTGACATTCTTTCATTTTTTTGTTTGTTCCAAAAACATGACATCTTTCTATATTGGAAAATTCTTTTAGCTTTAAACATTTCATTTTATCCTCAATGATTTGTTCATACCCATAGAAATATCATGATATGCTTAAGACCACATGTTCTAAGGGTACTTTTGGTCTACATTGCGCGGACTCTTCATTTTCGATTCCCCACCCGTGTCAAATTCTCCAAAAATACACTATTTTTGAAGAACCCGACATGCATCCGTTGACATTTATGCAGAGTCCGAGCAACATAGTTTTTGGCATGTACCAGAAGTTTTTCTTTTTCTTTCTTAAACAACGTGCCAGTTAAGCATCACAATCTAAAATGTAAGGGGGGAAGTATATCCTAAGTTGCTCGAACTAGGGTGTGGGTATCCGCCACAGGCGCAGATATAGAGGTAGGATCCTTCATGTTCTAAATTTTAAGGGGTATGGATCCAAGTATGGATATGGGTACAGCCGTACTGGGATTCAACTAAAAATAATTCAAATAACTAAAAATAGAAAAAAAAATGCCTAAGTAAAGGTGGATTGTTTGGAAGGAGAGGAATGCACGGATAATTGAGAGCAAGTTTGCATCTCTAATTATTATTACGTACATATGCATCTCCTTACTGTTTGTTTGGTGTAACATGACTATTTTAAATGATATAAAGGTCATGATAGACTTCTTGAGTTCATCGCACATTCAACAGTGATATTGACCTGTAAATATCTTTAAAACACCTTCTGGTTGCGAATTTTTAATACAAATATCTCTTAAGGATGAAAAAACATATGCCTAAATTATGATTTCACCCTATCTTTTGTTTTGATGTCAGAAATCATTGTATTTGTCTTGAATTTCTCAATCAATTTTGATCAAAGTACCCAAAATTGATTGACCATATCCGATACGGATCCCACACCCACACCCACACCCATGTTGTGTCGACATGGGTGTAGCACTAAAAGTGAAGAGACGAGTACATATTGAAATAGTTCATTTACTTCCTATACCAGATTGCTAATGATATTTTGAATTACGTTAAGTGCATTGCTCTTCAATAATCCCTTTATTCCATTTATGTGACATATTTTCCATTTGAGTCTATCTCAAAAATAATACGTAACATCTTTTTCTTTTTGGGAACTATTTGATCTAGCATCTGCAGTTTAATTTTGATAACATGACTTATTTGGACCCATTTGATACAGAGGTTCATTCTTTTATAAGGATAGAGAAAATGAAAGATTGTGGAACTCTAACCACCACTCATTTGAAAGAATAATTTTGGTACTCTGCTATATATTTGGCTGACATGTCAAAAGTCTGCAATATTTTTAAATTACTTACCCATTTATGTTGAGAGGCCAGATTTCACCAATAAGACAGACTATCCATAGACCACTCTGAAAAATAGCTAAACCATCAAATTTTACCCTTTAGAGTAAAATTTTACTGTAATTTTTTTCTTAACAAACTTCCAAAATAAACAACAAATTAGAATGTCAACAAAATACATAAGAGTAATAGAAGAAGGAAATTGTTCAAGTTATACCAACAAATTATCAATTTTTTTTATTAGCTATGAATAATTTAACCACGAAATTCATAACTAAACACATTTCTTTGTTTTACTAAGAAGAAGTCTGGGCTTATCAGTAATTATAAGGAAGCTATAATCTTTTGAGTATTGTCAAATGTCAATAGAGAACACTGAAAGTATTTTTTTAATATTTGCTCAGCATTGAGGGGTATATCAGTTGCATTGCTCAGCATATCTCAAACATTTGACATGTTTTTTGCTTTCCTTAGGGAATATTTGGCTCAGCATTTCAAGTCAGTGTGATGTTTTGGTGCATTCGTAGAAAGGGACCTCTCTTTGTTGCTATGTTCCATCCTCTTGGAATCGTAATTGCTGCTGCATTGGGTATAATCTTCTTAGGAGATATTTTCTACCTTGGAAGGTATGTTTATATTTCATTTACAATCTTACAAATCTGTCAAGTTGGCGGCAATCCAAATTGAAAAAAAGTTTCTATATGAACTCTTTTCTCTCTCTCGTTAATGTTGTAAAGTACTGTTTGCATGTGCCTAATCATCACCTTTGTTGAGTACAGCTTGGTGGGGTCAATTATTATTGTTGTTGGCTTTTACGCTGTTATGTGGGGGAAAACAAAAGAAGACAAGGTGGATGAAGACAAGCTCACAAGAAATATCAATTCAAAGGCCCCACTCTTGGAAATAAAGGATGCAGAGACAAAAATATAAGCATAAATTATAGGTATGTCTTCTTTTTAGCAGCTAACTTTTTTAAGCCAGTAGGGAATACAATTTCTGCATATCTTATGTGTTGTATCTATATATCATGTAATGATATGGCACTTGAGCCTAACTAAACCCCAAAAGCTGGTGTATAAGGGGAGGATTGTCCAACAAACCACTAGTTCATTCCCCAACAAATGTGGGATTACTACCCACTCTAACACCCTCCTTCACTCCCAGCTTCAATTGAAGCGTGGAACGAGAACCCAAACAGGGATGGACTTGTCTCTAGGGATGAACCTGTCTCTGATACCATGTAAAGATATGGTACCTAGGCCTAACTCAACCCCAAAAGTTAGTATGAGGGAGAGGATTTTCCAAGTCCATATAAGCAAACCACCAGTCCATTTCCCAACCAATGTAGGATTCGGACCCACTCTAACATATCTCAAGTTACTGGAGCAAGTATCTTACTATAGTGTGCTTCACTGTGAAAGATGGTAAAATGTATGCCTAGATCTCCAAGGTCTTTGTAACTTATACCGATCCCAAGACCGTTGTTTCTTTTGTCCATGCAACTTTATGAATCTATAGGAGATGGAGAAAATGATTTAAGTTTGGGCTGTTCAGGGTGTGGTTTTCGGAGTTGTGGCTATTGCTCCTTTGGCATCTGTTTTCTTTGTATAAATCTGTAGACAGACCTTCACATCCCGAGTAGGCTCTAATACTTGATAGAGCATACTCCACATGAACTATAAGAAATACTCAAACAGTGGAATATTTTTTTTTTGAAATAGGTAACTTTATATTCACACAAAAGAACTCATCGAGAAATTGATGAGGAGGGATTTACAAACCCCCAGGGGGTGCCATCATTCTCAAATCCAAAAACAAATTTTCAAAAATTTACAATTGGCCTATAAACTCCACTACACTATCTACTTCCCCCACTAAATCTTGCTTACACCAAAAAAACAAAAGACTAAGGCATTTCATCTTGATCATCTGGGAGCTGCTTGACCTCCCCTCGAAGCACCTTCCATTTCTTTCTTTCCATAGTGTCCACCAAATGCAAGCAGGTACATTTTTCCACCAATCTTCCTTTGATCCTCTCTTCCCAATTCCTTGCCAGTGTGTTAGTACCTCAAAAGTGGTTCTGGGCATTGTCCAATTAACCCCGAGTCTACAAATGAACATGTTCCACAGATCTGTAGCCATCTTGCAATGCAAAAATAAATGGCCATTTACTTCAGCCTCTTGTTCACACATATAGCACCTTGAGCAGATCTGTATACCTCTTCTTTGTAGCACTTCGTGGGTTAGACAAGCTCTTCTAATTACCAACCAAGTGAAGCAAGCAACTTTTAGAGGGATCTTAATCTTCCATATTAATTTCCAGGGCCAAAATGTTGTCAAAGAGTGGTTGGTGTTTCTTTCCCAGTAACAAGACTTTACTGTAAAAACTCCCCTACTATGCAATTTCCAAACTGGTTTGTCGGACTCTGCATTGATGCCAAGGAACAGGTTCAAAGCCTGAAGTAAGTCTGCTACTCTTTCAACCTCCCAATCATTTAGAGCCCTTCTAAACATAAGGTTCCAGCCTTGAGGACTCCACATCTGCGCTATAGTGTCATTCTGTTGTAGGCTAATAATGTACAAGTCAGGAAAGAGTATCCTCATTTTCACATCGCTTAACCAGATCTCATTCCAGAAACTGATCTTCAGGCCATTCCCCACTCTGAAAGTCACCTGCGCATTGAAGTCAGTCCACATTCTCCTAATAGTTTTCCATACTGAGCACCCAAAAGTGCCATTCACCTCTTCAGTTATCCAATTACTCTGTAGGCCATATTTCTCAGCTATGAACCTCCTCCATAATGCTGTATCCTCGCAACAGAATCTCCACAACCATTTTTGCAGCAAACTAGTGTTCTGAATACTTAAGTTCTTAATGCCCAGACCTCCTTGTGCTTTGCTCATTATCACCTCTTCCCATTTAACCAGGTTGTATCCTTGTTTTTCTTTGTTCCCTTGCCAAAGGAACACCCTTCTCAACTTGTTGAGTTTCTTTCCAATACTTTTTGGTAGTGGAAAAAGACTTAGCATATATGTTGGGAGGGCATCCAGAACTGATTTTATGAGAGTCACTCTACCTCCCAGAGATAAATATTGACTCTTCCACCTTGTCAGTTTCCTTTCACTTCTCTCCACTCAAACAGTGGAATATTTGGTGAATGTATTCTCTTTTTAGCTCTTACTTGCCAAGATTCCAGTAAATAACCAATATATAGTGTTAGTTTAGGTGCACCTTGACGACTCAAGGGGGGTGGGGGGTGAATTAGGTTGTACCAAATTTTCATCGCTCTTAATATTTGCCTAACTCGACTGTAGAATCTGGTCCTTTGAGAATTCAGTTTAGAACACAAAAACAGTAAAGCGTGTAATAGTAAAAACACAGAATTTTTAACACAGAAAAACACCAGCCTTAAAAGATGCAAAAACCACGACTGTTAGCTGATTCCACTAAACAAAGTGAGCCGAAAATTCAGATTACAAACCCTTGCAATCTAAGACTTAACTCTAAACCTTGATATTAACCGTTACCTGACTGCTATACTTGCCTCAAGTCACACTGACTTGATCAACAAATATGTTTCACATAACAAAACAACCTGCAACCTGACGGTACTTCCAAATAAGTAGATGGTTACAACTCAAATTCCTATTACAAGTGAACCCAGGACTGGACTCAATGAATTGAAGTAGCCACACAAGGACCAGAGTCTTCGGCCTGGTTCTTCACTCTCAGATGATCAGTCTTCGCACTTTCAAGAATCCGACAATGTAGTATACAATAAATTTATTCTTCCATATGTTCTAGCCTTGGTGGATAGAGTTGCCTGATATCTATTGTTGGAGGGAGGTGATACGTATCGATGGAATCAGTCAAGGTGCACGAAAGCCGGACACGATGGTCATCAAAATAAATAAGTAATAAAAAAATAATATAATTCACATTAGTAAGCACATGAAAAAGGAAGCTACTTAGTTCGAAGATTCTATCAAGTAAGGAAATCAAATCAAATCAGAGAAGGATTCTCAAATCGTGTCTTACAAAAAATAGCTCCAATTCGGTCATACACTGAATCCTTTTAGAGCTCAAAAAATTTGGAAAGATCTTGTGATTATCTAAGAATATATTGCATGAATAATAATGGAGATATACACAGATATTTTCCCTAAAATATCGCAACACAATCACATCTTTCAGCTAATTATTCATCAGCATTAAGGGCCTGGTTCTTAACACAATTCCTTCAGAGTACATTGTGTTTGTTAATCATCAAAATACATCAATCTTAACATATAGACACACATGTATGGACATCCTTGAATCACATGTTCTTCTGGAACATGTTAGTCCTTCTCAGAAGAAATGTTGCTGTCTTCTTAAGAAATTGTAGAATTTTATTTAGGGTTTGTATCCTAAAACAAAGTGTTATCTAGGAATATATCCTTTCTATTATGTCTCTCCTTTTGGCATGTCAATATTAGTATGATAACCATTCTGCATTTTTTTTTTTGTTCAATTCTAAAAAAAGAAATATATGAAACTGGTATTGGAAGTTGTAACTTTTCATTTGTAACGTCTTGACTTGATTTCAAAAGATAGCAACGAGATCTTAACACAACATTTATTGGAAAGGTGAGATTCTTACATGGATGAAACAGTGAGGAGGCAATGCTTAAACGACAATAGGCATTTTGGGGGTGTCAGAGAGATCAATGAGGGGATTAGAAGTTGGCCATTTTGATAAGACAGATATAGTTTAGGTACTGAACAGGCTGGGGCTGGAAATGAGAATTTATGATCTAAATCTGGAGACAGTTCTAGTCCAGTTACAAATTCCAATATTTTTGTTTGTCATATAAGCATTTTCCTAGTATATCCGCTACTGCCCTGTTTTGGTTTTGGCAGCTTGTAGCATGTAAGCGGTAGCTAAACCCAGTTCGTTAGAACTGACATCCACCATAATTAAATCTCATATTTTAAGTCGTGTTGATTTTTTCTGCGTTAACACTTCCAGATACAAATTCTATTGACTTCAAATCCATTGTGTAAGTGGGCGGCTCATTTTAAGTATTATACAATCTAGGTCATAAGGATAAGATTTCAAAATATGAGTTGAAGAGAAAAGGTCATTTGGCCCACAGTGTAGAATTGGACTTGATATAGATAACCTGTGGTGTCCAATGTGCAGACCATCCCGAGGAATTACTTTATGATTTCATTGAAAACATTGTACTTTTTTAATTAAACCCTTGAATTTTTTCTGAGCACAATTGATCTTTTCAAACCTTTGTTCTTCAACCTATGTGTGGCACATCCTTATCTTCTTTTATTTCAAGGATATGTTCTGTTAGTAGATGGGGAACATCAAGTAATTGAATTAGCTGTGCTTTACCAAATGAATCACAAATTACTGAAGAGCTGAATGATATATTTTGGAACAGAACTAAATCAGTTTTAAAGGGACGACTATTAGTAATCAGAAAGAATATGCAGCTCATAAATCTTTTACCTTGATGAAACTTATGATTAAGCTAATATAAGAATAATGCTTTACATTACTTGGGATGAACAACAAAAATAGAAGCATATTCCTTCTGATAAATAAACGAATGATAGATACCACCAATTCTTTATCTATGGAGAGAAAGAAGACATTTATTCTTTTCTGTGTTTTCGAAAAGGTGGCATTGTTTGTGATAGTGTGATATATACATTTGAGTATTTTCGATTATGAATTAAATCTATATACTGACGTAACATGTAGTTGATCTTTCAAAATGCAGTTGTCCTTGACTTTATGTTTTAATAATCTGAATTGAAGCGAAGAACTGACAAGAGGTTTCTTTCATAGAATTGATAGAGCTTGTCTTTTGATATCACTCAAAGAAGCATCGATTGTTAGAAAGTCAAACATGTCTGAATATATAAGATAGCTTATTTGTTGCCTCTAAATAGAAAATTAGATAACTCACTTAAATGTTCAACGCCTCTGTGCAGGAGGAGGCACTTAAATGACCGTAACCCTTTTTTCATGTCAATGAAAGTATGATCATGACTTGTTCACATGTTTCTTTATAATATCATCTCCTGAAATGTCAACAGAAGTCTTTTGTTCTCTATAACTCTCTCTATGCATGACGATGCTTATTTGGTTGATGCCCGTGTGACTAAACTCTGGCCTGACATTGCATTGTTTTTTTAAAGTCATACATGACTAAATATATAAGATATCTCATTCTTTATGCCTAAAAAGTAAATTTAGATAACTCATTGTGAAATGCTTGACGCCTCTGTGTTGGAGGAGGCACTTTAGATGGTTGTATCCTCTTTTTTCATGTTAACGGAAGTATGATCATGACTTATCCTCACGTCATTTTATTTCTAACGACATAACATAACGTGTCATTTAAAGTCTTTCATTCTCGCTAGATATGTATTTGTATGACTGCATTGGTGGGAGGTACCAGGTACTCGGTGGACTAGCTGAGGCATGCCCAAGCTGGCACGGACATCACATTATAAAATAAATCTCTTTGCGTGACTTTGTTTTTTGTTTTGTTTGATGCCGGTGGGACTGACTATTAGCTCTTGCCTGCCTGCAGAATGGAAGAAGTCAAAGCAAGTTGACATTGCATTTTGTGGAAGTTGTAGACATGGAAGCCACAACCAAATGGAGATCCTCCTTTACTGAAGTTTGTATAAAATAGTTTGAAACATTCATACACGTGCTCAATATTGTTATAAATGCAGAACAGATAAACATATGAGTTGGTTTGACACTCATTTTATCAGTGTGTGTATATATATATATATATTATTATTCTGGTCAGCATTGTGATACTATGCTTTGCAAAGATTCTCAAACGTGATATATATGTGTATATATATTGAATATTTATGTATAATATACATATATTATAGTACAAGATAATGTATCGTATATTTAGCTAGTGAGTGTAATTATTTTCTGTTGATCGGTCAAATGTATAACTGGCCCTATTTTATAGAATTGGGATATTGTTTTCTCTTTCTATTAGCTTAGGCACGTTTATACCTTTTAAATGTGGTCCATACAGAGGCTTGGTCTTTGTGGGAAATATCAGAGCAAACCATCCAAAGAGGAAGAATCCCCCCCCCCCTCCCCCCCATAAATAGAAAATATTTAACTACAAAATAATGTCAAATTTTTGTATCTGTGTTACGAAATTTACTTAGTATATACCTACAATAATAACATACTCGGTGAAAATTCATCAAGTGGGGTCTGAAGAGAATAGAATGTATGCAGAACTTATCTCGTGGAGATAGAGCGGTTATTTTTGAAAGACTCTTGACTCAAGTATATCAAATCCAAGTAGAGTAAGAGGAAAATAATGAAGAAAGCATAGTCAATAAGGAATACATTGCAAAGTTTACAAGAAAGGAATACTAATAAATATCAAATATTGTGATAATCGAGAACACAATAAATGACAAGAACTACAAGGGTACGAGTAGTACTATGATTACAATCCTTCTAGCCTAATACGCGGCCTCCACTCCTTCCTATCTAGAGTCATATTTTTGGTAATATGAAGTTGTGACATGCATGTCGTGTCTAATCACCTCTCCCCGGTACTTCTTCGGCCTATAGCTACCCCTCTGCGTGCCGCCCTTTACAACCAACCTCTCGCACCTCCTCTACACACGCTCAAACTATCTCAATCATGTTTTCCTCATCATGCCCGCCATAGAAACCACTCCCCCACCCCACCCCCATAATTTATTCAAAACTTGATAACCTGACTTTTCTAAAGTCAGAACTTGTAAACTTTAAAATTTTGAATCTGCCTAGGTTAATTCAAATCCTATGTAAAAACAAAATGGAAAAAAAAGAAAAGAAAAAAGGAGAGGTGTAGGTATAAAATTTTGTAAAACTGAAATTAGTCTTTAATCAATTGGTTAATCCAATTGACCAATTGAATTCAACATTCACATCATATTATTACACTGACAGCTTCCTACTTAATTGAAATAAAATAAAATACTATATACTAAATTATATTTTATTAATTATACATTACACACTCTAATTGACTCTAGTTGCCCAAAATGCCTTTACGAATACAAGAAAGGTTGCATTAATAGTAATGATGCCTTTTAACTTAAAGGATTTCTTATATTCGTTGAACTTGTTTTTAATTTTAATTAATAATCAAGAGTGATAAGCTAATTTAGGAATAGCAATTGTTAACTGGAGATAATCTGATTTAGACTAAAGAGGTTATTTAATTTTAAGCTAAAGTCATATATAGGCATCTCACAACTTTTCGATGCTTTCATTTTAGAATATATTTTGAGAAAATTAAATTGTGCCGGCTAAAGTTACATGTTTTATATAAATAAAGTGTTAGATATCTTAATGATATGGGGGCATTTTGGAGAAAATCATGCGGATTTGATTTAAAATATCAAAAATCGAATTACTGAATCGAATCGTTATTTTTGGTAATTTGATATTCGGAAGTAAAATTTTAGAATTATGATATTCGGGTTTGGGTTTGGTATGAGACATTAGTACCATTTGGTATTTGGTAGTTCCTGAATACTGAATTATTTACTTAATGAAGATCATGTATCAACATGTCCATTACTCATTAGTACAAATCCAAAGAAGAAAGTTAAAGAATGAACATAAACAACCAAAATACATGTCTTTTAGTTGTATCAATTTGTTTTTCTTGTTGTCTTCTTACTTATTGATCTTCTATTATATCGTGCCTTCACATAAAAAATAGAAATGATTGAAAAAATAGTATTAACTTTATAATACAATTGGCTACAACTTCAATACAGTATTATCGAATACCATATTAAATTGAAATTTAATTTATTGATTACTGAACCAAAATTTAAAATTTTGATATTTGGTATCTACTTTTAACTATCAATTACCGAACCCAAAATTTGATTATCCCGAATCGAATACCGAACGTCCACCCCTAAAAAACGGATAATATAACATCATGTTATGAATATCATCCAAACACGTATTAACAACTAAACTAGAATAGATGGTCGAATCAATGAAAAAGACAAGAGGTTTACTAAGAAGGTTCAAAATATAAATAAATAAATATACGAAAAAATTAAAGATGATTAACTTAACTACGTGTAATCAATATAATTTTCTATCAAAAAAAGTTCGAATCATTGATACTATCTGACCTAGAAAAAAGTTAAAAGAAAACCTCTAAAATAAGGGTGTGGACAAATAAATATTTTGATAAGTATAAGAGCAGTTGGTCCAAAGACGACAAAGGCCTCTCACCTATTTATTTTCCAAAACAACAAAAAAACAAATATGGTCTGCTGACGTTTTTTTTTATTACTAACAATATAATTAAATAAAATGAGTTTTGTCTTTTTATTTCTTCCCATTTTATTGCTTACGTACTATAGTTTAAACATAAATATAACTTGAATCGCTGATGTCTTAAATTCTTCTAATTTATTTATTACTTAAAGTATCATTACCAGCCAATCAGTAGGTGTTAATCTTGGATTCTTATGCCTTAATGATATCATCTTAAAATAGATTGTTGAGAGAAGGACGCCATCTTAATCTTTTTTTGTGTATGCTAATTAGGTCGGATTATTAAATGGGCGGGTTAAAATTGACTGATTTAATTTGTCCTTTCAAATGTTATTTGGAGTGAAATGAGTCGAACTAAAATGAATTAAATAATAGGTTATGGTTTGATCCGTGCATTTTCTTTTATCAAATTTTTATTTATTTTTCTTGTAATTTATAAGTTTTTATTTTTTTATTTTTATGATTATATATAATATATCAAACAAAAAATATTTTAAGAAAAACTTTCATGTGTATATTAGGCTATATATGACCTCAACTTTTAAATGGGTTGAAATTCACCTATCAAAATGAACAGAGAGTTAGTAAATAGACAGATTATTAATCCGAACAAACTTAGATAGATAAGACGGGTCGTGTTTTCATTTACTAATTTGTCCCTAGACAAAATTCATGTTTTATTCCAAATTGTTCATCGTTTGTACTTTGTTGCCTATTAATAGTCAATTTAATGAATCCTTATCAAACTAAATTTGGATATGAAGTAAATTATGTTATTTACAAATCCATTTTAAACTAAAAAAAATAATATTCAAATCATTCATAAATCAACTTTATTTTCACTTACTGGCTGATATTTGTTTAAACAATATGTTAAATAATTTTCAAACTAAAACTTCAACTTTCAAATACTCTTTCCGACTCAATTTTAAGTATTGTAACTTTTTTTTTTTTTTTTGCAAACACCAACCATTCCCAGAAACTCTTCTTTAACCATTGTAAAATAAAATAAATAATATTGGATAAAGTTGGGCAAGTGGATTATAAATTAATATATCTAAGATATTTCTAGTAAAATACTATTACTAAGACAATCATCCTTTTTGTTTTCTAGGTGAAAAAAGTAATTTGGAATAAAGAATTATGTTGGAATCGTTAGGTGTAATTGAAGAGACCTAATGGAGTTTCAAGTAAATATGTTGTAGGACCATGATTAATTTGAACCACAAAAACAAACTTGTAGGTCCATATATTAATCTAAACAACTTTAACTTATTTTGGACATTATAACCATGGTTTCATACGTGTAAGAAAAAATCCACCTAGGACAAATAATAAGAGACTATATTATTATTATTATTATTATTATTATATTATTATTATTATTATTATTAGTATTATTATTAATCACAATTAACAAGTGATTTTTATGTGTTTAATTTTTTGATCGATCTTGACGAACAAACTAATCTAGCTAGCACTTTTTTTACTCTTTCTATATGATTTGGATGCGATATTGTTATTATACTGGAATGAAGTTTACTGTGTGCTTATTCAAAGGATATCGACTAAGAGGTTCTCCGTCAGCAAAAAAAATAATAATAATATTATTTTATTATTTAATGTTGTGTCCATCGTTTGGGTCACTACTCGAGTTGCTCATTCCCTCTAAAGTAGCTTGACCTTTATATGAAAGGTTAACTTGTGATGTTTTGTATATATTGAAAAACTCTCATTGCCTTTTCTTCATAAATGGGAGACAATATTCACTAAATTATCCTAGCTAAAGCTAATTACATATATACACAAATACAAAGAGTAAAGAGGAATATTTGATAAGAGATAATATTATTATTATGGCTATAGCACAAGATATTTTGCCATGCATAGCCATGGTGATAATAGAAATGTGTACAATTTTCTTGACTATAATGGCAAGTACATCCATGTCAAGATTAGGGATGAGTTCTTATGTTTTTGTGGTTTATACAAATGCTCTTAGCTCAATTATTCTTCTTCCTTGTTCATATTTCTATCATAGAAGAGACAAGTAAGATTTCATCACCTTTTTTTTTGTAATTTATTCAACAAATTTGATGAACATCTTGTCTTGCAATAATAGAGAATAAGATATATAATATGTGTTGATGTTTATTTTTATTTTTTTTTAATTTGTTGCAGGATACAAGCTTCATTGTTTACTTTCCCAATACTTATCCGTGTATTTATCCTTGGTTTAGTAGGGTTAGTTCTTCTTTTCTCTCTTTTCACTACTACATATGATATAACATATTTAGTATTATTCCACTAGTAAGATTTAGGGAGGATATCATATAGGATGTACACAAATTTTATCGGGATATTGATCACCTGTTTTTGATAGATCTTCGGCTCTTTTTCTCTTCTTCACTTCTAAGAGAAAAATATAATTTCAAGCTAGTTAGATCATATTTTCATAAGTACTAATTAATTACGATGGTTAATATAATAGAGAGAAAGATTCCACATTTAAATTTGATGAGTTAGAATTTTAGGCTCTTAAACTGATGAAGTTGCACTTTTGAATTAATGGATTTATATTATTTTAGTATTTATTTGAAATTTTTAGTGGTTCTATCGTGCCACGCACACATATTTATACTCACAAATCAAAGACTGAGCTCAGTTTAATCTATTGTAGAAAGGTGCATAGTTTAAGAGAAAAAAAATTCTAAAAAAAAAGGAATTTGAACAAATTTTAGATGTTTGATTGATTATAAATCATATCAATACCACATCAATGATAAATGGAGTCCTATACTTCCATTATATGACTTGGTTAATATTATATTAATAATTCTCCCCTAAAACTATCGTTTTGAATTGAGTTAGACTGAAGATTAATTTGTTCATCATGGTATCAAATTATCTGGACCTCCAATATTGGCCCCTGGATAGATTGTTCATGCCGGACTGTGTTTGAGCGCGCGGGGATCAGGGGAATATATATGACATACTAAAATTAATAAAAAAAGTATGTCATATAAATTAAGACAAGTGACGATATTTGATTTTATGATGGTGTGTTTGCAGGGTTACAATAGCTCAGAACCTTGCATTTGCTGGACTAAGTTACAGTTCACCAATTGTAGCCTGTGGCATGGCCAACATGGTCCCAGCTTTAACTTTTATTCTTGCTATATTTCTCAGGTTAATTATTTCTTCAACCACAACTTCTTTATTATTTCATATTATATGATTTTTGTTGATTGGAATATTGAATCTTGAAAACTAGATACTATGGAGCCTTAAACAAAAGAAAAAGATTTGCTACCTCACATAATTTTAATTTTTTCTAGTGGTCCTTTAATTTCTTGCAACTTGATGAAATAAATAAAATTGACAAATTATAGGTGATGTAGAAAAAGAGATCTAGAACATGTGGAGGATGTTAGAAGTGGGACATCAAGTTTAAATTTATATTAATTAGATTCAAGAATTGTGTGTTGATGAATCTATAAATGGTGGCCAAGAGTCAAATACACTTGGATCCAACTTAATATATGGGGGCCATATACACCAGGAAGAGAAAACAAATTTTCCCATTTAAAAAAGAATGACATTATTTTTATTTTTATTTTATTTTTAATTAAATTATGTCATATAAATTAAAACTTAAAAATAATATTATATTTTTAGGAATAAATTAAGTGATGGAGTTGGTTGGAAAAGAGGTGGACCTACGTACTACCTACGTGCCACTACGTTTGCTTGTAAAAATCAGTCAAACAATTCCTTCCAATGAAAAGTTACATATATATTTCCTAAATATTTGAATGGGTCATTGTTGAAGTATGTGATCATTTCACGTGTGGGCCTAATTTTTTTATGAACCAAGTATGTGGATTTTTTTAAATATGAATGGCGGTGAGATTTGATCACAGGTGGTGGAAATGATCTTTTTAATATGAGCGGCATTGAGATTCGATTTGAAGACATTTGTCTGCTCTGATACCATCAAAAGTTGTAGTGTGATTGATAAAACTATTTGCTAGTATCTTCTAATTAAGTGATCTGATTGAAAAAATATTTATCGCAACGTAACGTCATGTTAATTTGGTCATCATTATTAATCACTATTCTAATTCAACATTTTTTTTTTTTTTTTTAGGAAAATAAGAATTGATGTGAAGAGCCAAGGAAGCCAAGCAAGAATGATTGGAACTCTAATATCAATAATTGGTGGCTTGTTAATGACTTACTACAAAGGTGGAGTGGTGAAGCAATATTCCCCAACTTTTCTTCACCTAGCCAACCCACACCTCCTTGTTTTCACTTCAACACATGAGAATTGGGTTCTTGGTTGCTTCTTATTTGCTTCAGCTTCATTAGCTCTTTGTATATGGAATATTATTCAGGTAATATATACCGTTCGACCAACTAATTTATTAATATGACTGAAAATCTGAAATATACATAACTTATATATTTTGTAAACTAGTTGACTGAAGTGCTTAGAGTCGTAACTCGTAAATCGTAATCATCCCTTTTCACACCAAAGTCACTTTGAATTGTAGTTTATTTACTTATGTTTGTTTTTTTTATGGTCAGGTTGGAACTATTAGAAAGTACCCACATGTGATGAAATTAGTGTTTCTATATACTTTATTTGGGACGATACAATCAGCAATATTTGCTTTGGTGATGGAAAAAGATCTTAATGCTTGGAAAGTCGAGCTTAACATGGAGCTTCTTGTCATTGTTTTAACAGTAAGTTTAATAAAGTGCACAATTTTTTAATTTTCTATAGTTAATTTATCAATTATAACTATCGTCAAACTATATTAACATGCAATTTTTTTTTTGTTTGTTCTTAAAAAAAAAGGCAATTTTTGGCAGTTTAATTCGTAGCAGTTTTCAAATGTGGTGCATGCGTTTGAAAGGATCTTCTTTTCCTCTATTTTTCAAGCCAGTGGGAATTCCAACAGCTAGTGCTTGTGGCTGTTTACTTTTTGCTGATACTTTTCACTATGGAAGGCAAGTTTATAAATTTTATCAACTTTTTTTCGTTAAGTTATATATACTGACAATGCATGTTATAATTTAACTTGGCATAACATGTTAATTACTTATCATTTATTCAAAGTTACAAATAGAATACTTGTTATATATTGAGTTGCGTATTTTTTAAGTGATTTGATCGCGTAACACAATTGTATTGATGAATATTTTGTAGTATGTTGAGTGCAATTATATGTGGAATGGGTTATTTCACTACATTATGGGGACAACTCAAAGATGATGAAACAAGTAAAAACATTAAGGGTAGCATATTACCAACTACTTCTGATGAGAAAGTTCCACTTTTGGAAGAAAGAGAAGAAGACGAAGACGAAGAAGTCGAAGGAGGTTCAAAAGTCTAAGATATGGAAATTTATTAAGATGATGAAGATAAATGTAAGTGTTTGCTAGGAATTTTAAAATTAGTTGTACATATGTATTGGAAGGAGGTATTTTTTTCATGCCTTCCAATGCAAGTTGAACAATGAAATTGTTGTTCAACTTATATTGATTTTCTCTCTAGGTAGCTATAGAGGTTACGTACGTACGCACGTATGAACTATGTTCATATGTACGTACGTACGCGCTCTTGTTAATATGTTTGATTGAGAAATTTGGTGTATGTTGTTTCATTTTACCCACCATTTGTAAGTAGTGAGCATTGGTTTTGATGAGATGAATATTACGAGTTTGTGATTGTATATATAAGACTGCATTGTGCTCCAACATTTTGATATGGAAGCAATCACTAATTGGACCTATAAGTTGTTGGCACATTAATTTGGCCTCAACTTTCGATGAATTTTTATTAGAGATCTTTATTTTTACATATAAAACATATGAAAATGTCACTTTTGTCTGTTTAAATTTGTAAGTGGCCATAGGAGATCATTTCCAGCTATATATGCCAGAAAAAATTACAAGTCTTTCCCCACATTCAATTATTTTCCTACACATAATCTTGATATTTTGCTTTGCCTGGCCCCTCCATACATACAATTTGTTTTGTAAGAAAAATCATTACTTTTTTTTATGGTTGAGATTACGTGCAAGTTCAACATCAGCTGGTGTATAGTGTAAGAGCTGAAAGTCTATTAGTATTGGGAAGCATTATGGCACGGAGATTCGACAATGTATATATGAAAAAAATACTTTTTCTATTTTTTTGTTTTTCAACATCATATTAATGTTGGTATTAATATGATGAAAATTATATAAAAAATATTATAAGTTACAATTTTTCTATTTTTTTGTTTTTCATCCGATGTTCGATATTCGTATTGAAGTCCGACTAAATTTGAATTCACGTTGGGAAGTCCCACATTGAGGGTAAAACGCTCCCTAACAAAGGCAACCTTGTACCCGGTGGCACTCCAACCTAGTGATGGAAGCTAGAATTTTCACAAAGGATGTCCAGGTGCTAAAGTGAGCCCTGAATTTCACAAAGAGTGTCCAGGTGCTAAAGTGAGCCCTGCTCTCCTTAAAAAGTGAAAAAAGAGCTACTGCTAGTAAGCTTCAAACACACAAATACTTTAAGTTTGTATGTTATTTAACCACTTTGTTTATCATTTTACCTATATATACGATATAATTTTCCGACGGGTGTTCAATTGGACACCCTGACATGAGTGTAGCTATGCCACTTCTCCAATCTAAAACCTCTGCTTAAAGATGAAAGGAGTACTTACTACCCAATCATATCCCTAGTTGGTCAATCTTCTCAATTAATAGGTTGAAAAAACTATAATCTTAAAATATTGGTCAAAGTTCATACAGTTTGACTCTTTAAAAGTAAAATACGACAAGTAAAAGTGAACAAAGGGAGGGAGTATATATAGTAATAAGGTCTTACCCCATTATAGTTTTATTTATTCAAATTTTTGTTACACTTACATGACAGGAAAAGTAAAGTAGCTACTCACATTCCTGCAAGTAATTTTATTCATTAAAACTATACACTATGTGAAGATTATTTCTATCACACAGCATGTCATGAGGTCTTTATGCCCCAATGAGATAAGCATCAAGATTCTTGAAATTCTTGACAGCAAAATCTTTAATAATTTGTGGCTCAGGAATTTCATCACTTGCCTTTTCAAATTCACAACACCATTTAACCAAACTTCCATTTCCCTTTGGAGTTACAGTTAGGCTGCCTTTGAAACTCTTGTAGTATTTCAAGGTTTCACCATCAATAACTGAATAAACCAATGTTTTATTTGCCTCATCAATTGACTCTATTTTCTCTTTTGAGAATGTCACCAATGGAAACCCTATATGAACAATGAAAGTTAAAAAAAAAAAAAAAGAACAAAAGAACAAAAGAACAGAGTATATATACTTAACATGTCATATATAAATTTGGCGGACCCACACCTATAAATGGGGTGCACGAGCACCTGTCGAAAAAATAATGTGTATATATGTATATCAATTTTGAGAAACTAATAGAAACTAGGATATAATTAACATTGCACCCATGAAGAGCATATGAGTGCCCTAGTACCGTTGGTACAAGTTAGAGGAATCACTTGTGAGACCAGGGTTTGAATCCAGCTAAAACACTTTTTCACTGCTTTTATTTTAAGTTTAACTTTGAGCTAACATAATATTGGTGCACCCGAAGCATTCAAATCTTGAGTTTGCTTCTATCCATATGTACTCATGAATGAAAAGTTACCATTTTGAAAGGATTTCACTTATTATGGGACAATATCATGTAGTGTAAAAATTCTTTTCATGCTTTCTCATGGACCTTTCACCTTTAGAGTTCTAATTTATGTGCACATATTTGGAATTTTGAGATTTGAACTTCTAAACTTTAATTGTGAATTCATACATAGAAGCTTTAAATCTTTTGAAATTAAATTAGGAAATTACGTAAAAAGTACTATAAATCACAGTAATTAGTTTTCGTTGCTAATGACCCATTTTCTTGTAGTATAGTGATCAGGTAACCGATAAACCATCCATAAAAAATGAAACTCGGAATTTAAAAAAAAAGTAAGTTATCTGTTACAACACGTTAATTAATTAAAACATGAGGAAACAATGCATGAACATACCTTCAGTATATTTGATCAATAGAACAGAACCAACAGACTTGCCATCACCTTCAACAACTTCAATGCTCTTGTATTCATTAGGGGAAGCCTTAGGGAACAAATTTGTTGAGTCCCTAATGCCATTCCAAAATTTGTCTACTGGAGTTTTCACCTCAACTTCAACATCAATTTTTCCTAAATTGGATGACATTTTTTTTAATTGAGAGACTATAATATTGCTTGATGTGATGAAGTAAAAGTATTTTAAGAATTAGTTATATATATAGTAAGTAGTGACCTCTAGGTGAACATTAATTAATTGTAAAATCTAGCTACTTTCTACTACCTATATTGTGTTAATTACAAACATACGAATGTAGTTGAATGTTAAATTCATTTACGGTGAAGTTGTATGAGAAGTAGTTGGAGAATATAATGCATTAAAAATGGTCTCTATATTGAAGATGAAGGGTATATTTTGGATCGCGCACTGGGGCTCATTCGGAAGTGGTGTTCCCAACAAAATTTTCTTTCCTGCATTGGAGTCCCGACTAAATTCGAATCGTGCATTGCAGACCCATTTTCATACCTAGCTTGAATATGAGACATCTGATTAAGGGTGAAACAGTTTCACCACTGCACCACAATTCATATTTAAAAATAGATTAAGAGTATTAAATGATTTAACAAAGTAAAAATACATATTAATTAATCATAAATTAAAAATTATTGTGCATGTTTCAATACATATAATGCATTCATTTATTTGAGATAAACATCTAATATGCATAAATTTTAAATATTTCAATGGGTGGCATTTAAGTTGCTATTAATAATCCCGAATAAACAGTTACTAGTTATTGCTAGCAAATTCGTAGGATTTTGCAGTTGGAAGGTGTTTTATTTTTAGGAATTTATAAAGTAAATTACTCACAGGAATCGTTTGAACTACCATTATTAAGATGTAATTTACTGGATTAGTAAGTCATGAAATTTATTAGTTATAATCTTATAATATTAAAGTTACTAAATTAATGGAGTATGAAAATTTATAAAATTTTTTACTCAAAAATAGTATAATTGAATTTGTTATGAGGTTAAAGCAGTGACACACAGATTAATTTGAATTATTAAAAAAAAAAAAGATTAACTAAATAGGTTCACTCTAATTTTCTCTACAATATTCTTCTTGTTCTTGCTTTATTATTTTATAACCACTTCTAATCTTATGTTGTTTATAAGAATTTTTTATTGTTACCCACGAGAGATCTTTATTTTTATACACACAAAATTTAAAAGATCAATTTTCTCTTTATTCAATTGGTAAGTGATCATAAAAAAATCATTTTCAACTCGCCTTTTTACTGCCCCAAAATTTAGGTTAGGTCTGAGATTAAAAGAGGGATATCGGAAATGGAATGCAGAGATTTCTTTATAAAGCTAATATTTTCTTCATTTCAGTTTGTTTGTGTGGTTTTGATTTGATGCAGAGTGTAACATCTCGTACCTAGAAACGACTAGAAAGAGTTTAAAATCTGAAAATACTTATTTTTGGAAAGAATAAGAATAATCTGGAAAATTTGTCCAAGTTAGAAAAGTGAGTTTTGGTCATTTTCAAATGACTATAACTCCTAGATGGGGATGATTTAGGAGTAGTTCTTGATATGGTTGGAAAGACCTTGGGAAGATCTTTCCAACGCCGCAGAGTTTACGTGATTTCGATATCGTAGGAGTGAGTTACGCCTTTCGGAAGTTAGATTGAGGAAAGTCCAAATCCGGATTTAAGGAAGGGCAAACTAGTCTTTTCTCTAATTAAATTCCTAATTCATTTTTAGGGGCTTATTGGGGTAAAAACATAACTTAATTCAGTTTTGGAAAATTAGAATATGCTTAGGGCTTGGAGAAGAGAGAAATGAAGAAAGAACGGGAGAAGAAGTCAAGAATTCGCCAAGATCATCCAAGCGGTTCGAGTGGAATTTGTCGGGGGTGATCCCTACAAGGTATGTGAGATCTTTAGTGATGGGTTAGTTCACCCACACACCAACTTGTTTCAATTCAGCGATTTTGGGTTGTTTACATGTTAAAAAGTGAAGTTTTTGAAGGACATCGTTAAGTTCTTGATTGGTTGTGTTGTTGAAGTTTCTTGTTGATTTGATTCGTGTTTTCGGGTGAATTTTCGAGTTAAATCTGTTGTAATGTTGAGGGTTCTATTGATCCTAAGTGTTTGGGGAAAGAACCATGGAAGCTAAGAGAGTTTAGAGATGAAAAATGGAGAAGAAAAATCGTCAAAAACACGGGAAAGGGGGTGGGGCGTCGCG